TCCACTTTAATTATGGCAAATATTAAATTAACATTAGAATGAAAATAAATCCACTCTCCCAGGTGTTTCTTCACCAATAACAACAATCCACCCTTAGGTCTTCCAACTCCCAGTTTTTTTGTAGCTGGGGCCGTTAAATAGTTAAATGTGGGTTGCAGGAATTCCATCTCTTTAGCAGTTAGTTCAGTAATCCAGGTTTCTTCCAAACCAATAATCTCGTATTGTTTCATTAATTTTTGAAAATAACTAGAATATAATTTTTTTCTAAGTCCTTGAATGTTCCAATTTATAATCGTAATTTTTGGTTCTTTATCTGGTGTTAAATTTGTTTTTATAAAATTATTGCTGCTATTCTTACCAACTCTACTGTTTATTTTCGCTGCTATGTTAGTTAGTTGATTTCCACTTCTAAAAAAGAACCAGTATCCACCAAACAGTTCTCAGTTAAATTATAGGTAATTTTCTTATTGTTGTAAATTAGACAGTCATTTCGTAATAAAATCGGTCTACCCTTTTTCTTTTCCTCTATATAATATGGGATCAATTTTGCTCTTCTTTCCCTAGATTCTCGAGTGAGATCAGGTGTTATATGTAATTTACTATATAACTCATTAGAGGATTCTTTTTTATACTTATAAAACAATGACAATATTTGGTTTTTTCTCTGAATTGAACTTAGAGTGATTTTTAAAATAGTTGGAGCTACTTTCTTTATTACATAATAGTCCCTTATTTCCTCTGTCTTAAATTCGGTAATCCTCAACTCTTCTTCCATAAATCTACCTAGACTTTCTCTAATATTCATATTATCAGACAAAGGGTATCCGAATACTATCAAATTAGACTGATTTGATGTATTTATAATTTCGTTTGTAAAGTATTTTTGGGCTTCCAGTTTCCTATTTAGTTCCGGCAATGCTATTTCTAAATTATTAACCTTCTGTTCCATTAATCCAAGTCTAATCTTAAATTCTTTATTATCCTCATGTAGCCGGCTTATCTCTGTTTTAACTTCTAATATTAGTTCAGTTATAGCTCCATGTGAAGCTTGAATTAATTTAGTCATTTGGCGTAAACTTGAGGTAATCGGACAGTCTTCTCTCTCTATCGACTCCAAACATTCCACGAATGTAGATTCAAAATCAAAATCACTCACCTCCTCAGCTGTTTTCTCACTTTTCTCCTTCTCCCTCGAAGCAGGCCTTGGTTTACGTAACATATTCTCCAAATTAGTCGGTTTAGACATCTTAACAGCATTGTTACTTCTTGTTGATGGTGGTCGACCTCTCTTCGGTGGTGAATGTGATAAAGGGCCCGGATTTTGCTCAACTCCGGCCAAAATAAGCAAATTCTGTATTATTAATAATAAATATACTTTAATCCATAGCATTTCCATCTTTTAAATTCCTATTAACTCTTCAAAACAAGCTCACACTAAAATCACTCCAACACCGATGAACGCTAGAAGCGCCCCCCATAAAAATATAAAATTGAAATACCATAAAAATAATATAGTTCAGACATTGATCATTTTTCTGATTTTAAATTATATTAAAATATTATGTAATTAATTTGATCATAAAACAAACATCACAAATCTTGAAAAGTTATGTTAGCTTTTATTAATATTTCAAATACAGTATTTACAAATTTTATTTATTCACAAGTATTAAAAATAGCTTTATTTAAACATGTATACATTGTTAATTTGCTATTTTATCAGCTAGGATGACGTACAAATCATTATTAATACAGATTTTAATGTGATATATTGATACCTCTATTAGAAGAGTAATGTGAAAAATTAATAAAATAATTTTGAAGACTATAATGCAACTTGCATGTTAATCCTATGTATTTCTAAAAAATTTCATATGATATACTTATTTAAATGAAGTATCGAGTTAAAAATCATGATAATAATTGGAATAATTCATAATTCATTGATCCGATATTGCTGCTTGATAATAAATTTTATGTTATGGATGCATTAAGTTCTACTGAATGTCATCTGTGTTTCCATATGAAAATTTAAAATAAATGAAATGTTAAAAGTCATCTGTGTTTCCATATGAAAATTTATATCCATTTCTTGTATAATAAATTATTAAGTAATGGATGTTACTTTTGGGTAAAGTCAAATGTTGTGGGTAATCACTGTTTTGCGTTAACTGTTTGTGTGCTTGTTCATTGTGTTGAGGTAGAGCTCATAATGTTGAAAATGCCAAAATTTTTCAGTGCATATGATTGTTTTGATAATTTCAATTTCAATAAAATGTAAAAATATTTTATTTCATCAATTTCTGTTTAATAGAAAATATATTCATAAAGAATGGCTTATCAAAGTGAAAAGAGAAAATTTCCATCCTATTATACTGTACTTCATAAGTTTTTTTTTTGAATTTTGAAGTGGAAAATATCATAAATAGCAATAAATTAAAAACTAATTCAATTTCAATGAAATTTATATTTTGAGTGAGTGCTAAACAGTGAATAGCAGGGTTTTATGCAATTCCATTGTGGCAAATGTTATCAGGAACTACATTAATGTACATTGTAGTCACATCTAGAATGTTGCAAGTTCAGGTAGCAAAACATCAAGAGGATATTGCCAATAATAAACTCGCAACTGAGCTTTCAAAAAGAGTATTAGCACATGGCTATGTGCCCCTTTGGGCTAATACTAGATTACTGAGGCAGTGCTATGACAAAAGAATGTTTATGGGGAAATCTTTATATTGCATTGTTTTCACCCTGCAATACCCCTACCATTGATATTCCACACTTATGGATAGAATTATTTAAACTATTCACATTGTAGATGCTCTAAAGACCTTTACACTTGGGGATTTATATCTTAATTTTAATAAATACATGTTTTTAGCATTGATTAGGTGTGATTTCTCTCCCATATAACATTCCTAGTGTAAAGTGAAAATTGTTTTTTGTCAATTATAAACAGTGAAGTTTTGATTTGCTATCATTGTTTGTTTCTAAGAATATTTCAAAAGAAAAATTGATGGTGTTAAACATACATCATAATTTAAAAGTAAATTCAATATAGTAATACTTTTTAAACATTTAAAATTATATTAGTTTATTTATAGCTTTTCACTTGAAGTCTGATCTAAATTTTTGTTGCTGTAATATTCTAAAAAGAAAGTGATGTTGCAAATGTGTGTTTGCATATTAAAGACATTGAATCAGCTGGACATTCAAACATGAAATAATCTAAATGTTAGAATTTTTAATTAATATTAGGAAATTGCATTATCAGACAATTTTATTCAAGTTTAAACATAGACCTAGAAGTTGAAGAAGAAAACATACCTCTTGAAGACACAATTAGAATTTTGTATGTGTACTAGTTGCAACGTTTTTGCTGCATTATACAAATTCACATTATAGTGGAGGAATATGATACAGGAGTTAACTTTATTTCATTTTCTGTTAAACTTTGCTTGTGAAATAAATAAATATGGTACATAGCTACCATAGTTTATGATATTTATTACTTTTACATTGTTTTCCTAAGTTTTCAGAGACTGATGGCTATTATTTCAATCTTTAGGGATAAGATGCAGTTATTATTAGAGGGTGGTTATTTGACTAAAACTAGTATTTTCTTTTTCATTTTTGCTGGTATTTAACTATATATTCTGAAGACTTTGGTTTGTTTCTTTTTACTCTATATGACATTAACATAACATACTTAATGAATTTTTCTTTATAAATTGTTCTTTTGTTTTTAATTGTAACTGTACAAGTAAAAAATTGCTGTTAACAAGATGCAAATATACTCTAAAATGTACATTTGAGTAAAATTTATTAACATTAACAATGATTTGAATAGCATTACAGCCATTTTATTGGTTGTATTTATCTGCCAACACATGACAGTGGTGTTGTGCAAGTAACATCCACTAGTTACTTACATTGTTAAAATCTTTAATGCTTGATAATAGGATATATTTTCTGATTCATCCAGATTTGTATATTATATTTATTATATGAAAGGAGCATTCTCAAGTTAATTTCTAAATAGTTTATTACAACCAATATTTGATATTAATATCAATTTTAAAACAATAATCTTAAAAAGTAAACAAATAAGAAAAAAGAAAAGATGATATTTTTAAAAATTTAAATTAAAGAAGTAAAAGATTGATCAAATTTTTTTTACATGAATAATTTATTATTATTATTATTATTCGAATTTTTAATATTAAATATTTTCTGCTTCTGTTTTTCTGTTCAGTAATTGATTAAACATTATAATGCCAAATATAATTAAATCACATTTTAATAAAAGAAATTTTTACTTTCAGATGATAAAATAAAAAAAAGATTTTTTTTAATGAATATGTATTCTAAGAAAGGGAAAAAAATGTAAATGTGTGTATATATATATAGTTGTAGAAAGTGTTGAATCAATAATTTTTTATGACTTCAATTAATTCAATGTAAGATTTTTATCTAAATTCACTTTTTTGTTAAAGAAGATAATTTAGAATTTCAATTTTCCTAATAATTATTTATAATTTAAAATTTTATTATTATTATTTTTCAAAAATTAATAACTACAATATAAATTCACTTTGTTTCCAATAATGCTTTGGTGTGAATTAATATACCTTTAAAATAACTCTTTATTAACTTTTATTATTATTTTTTATTACTCTAAATTTGATTACGTTTTCAAAAATTGGATTCTTTTTTTCTCATTTGAATGAAGACTTATTATTATTTTGACTGTTAAAGTAAAGTTAATGTTGTAATTTTAAGAATTTAAATTTGATATACTTTAATGAAAATTTTTTTATTCATAAAAATTTTAAATTAATTGGTCTTTCTTAATTTTATAAAAATGACGATATCAATTTGTAGAATCAAAAATGAATAGCAAATATTTTGTAAGTTATTATTAACAAAGCATTTACCATGGTATTAAAGTAATATATAATTAATCTATATCTACAATATAAATTTTTATTTTTTAGGTATCTTTTGGCACCAAACCTTATCCAGAAGCATATCTTACCTGAAGGTGCTTGGCAAATTTCCACTCAGGTTCATAAAATTTGGTTTTTAACAATGTTTTAGTTAATGGTAACAGATTTCTTATAAGAAATGCTTCCATTTCTAAAAGTAAATTCAAATTTTAAATATTTTTGTGCATACTTCATTTTTATTACCTTTAGAATTTGTTTTCAGGAAATAGAACACTGTTATTACCATGCAATTATTAAAGATTATCCAGGAGCCCTTGCAGCATTAAGAACTTGTAATGGAGTTAGGTGAATATATATGTATTTTTTAATCTTTCAAAATTCTAAATGTTTGTTTGCTATGCACTTCTATGCCATTCGACCAATTGCTATGAAACTCTGCAGTTATTAATACGTTAACATACTTCTAACTTATAATTCATGATTCACATTTTAGTTAGCTGTAACATCTAACTTATTTATAGATAACATATTAAATATCATCCCAAAATATTAATTGATTTTTTATATATCGATTTACTTTTTGTCTATATTCAACTTGCTGGCTTTACATGTAGTGCCATTTATTGGCAAAATAATTTTTTAAAATAATAAACTAAATATAATTTATAGAAAAAAAGATATAATTTAAAAAAAATATATTATATACTCTTAATTACTGTGACAATGATGTAGCACAAAGTAGATGTGCTATATCATTACTGAAATGGGTAGTATGTAGCACTCACCTGCATGGAGTCGAAAATGTTACATTGTGAAAACTGTATAAGTATTTAATTTTCTACACCTAACAACTGAATGTTTCTCATTCTGAATGGTACTTTTTTAATTCTAATAAGTGCCCACCAGTAACTGAGTGGATACAACCACCAAACATCAGGATTTGTGCCTCACCAATGGGCTAGCCATATGGAATTTTCCAGGTTTTCTTCATGTTAGTAATACCTAAATAGGGGCTAGTTTTCCATAAAAGTTCTCCCATGAGGCATTCTCTTGGTAGTTCGTCCATACATGTCATATTGCTGTAACCAAATAAACCAAACTAATAATTTTTCTATAAGCTTGCTATTTATGAGGACATACTTCCCACATAATTTATAGGCATTCCAATAATGTTCTCAAAATAGATTTACATACATTTTTGAAATTTATGATTAATAATGCTGGATGTAACAATTACTGTGATGGGTACGTTATAAACCCAAGTAAAGCCAGGTGTAACTAGATAGTGATTCATATTTGAATGTTATTCAAAAAGAGATTCAAACAATTATTATTTCTAAAAGAAGTATTGATAAATCTTTTTATGAAGATCATTATTATCGTCTTTGCTTTCAAATTTTGTAAGAATAAATTTTTTTCTTTTATAATACAATTGCATTCTGATTTTTAATACCAAAAGAGTATTAAAATACTCCACAAATATTTTAAAAGTTGCATTTGTGAGAAGCCGGGGATTAGAGAGTAAAGCTCTAAACCCCTTTGATCAGCGTTGGGTTGGTAAAACCTGCTTACTTTGTCACTGGATGGATAGGAGGGTTATAAGTTGAGTGGGAAGGCCGCGGATAAGTTGATAGGGTGACTGTTCTCCAAAGAAAGACAGGTTACCATGTTAACGAATAACAAAAGTTTAATGAATACATAGGGAAAATACAAAGGAGATAAAACTGTCTACGGCAATAACTTGCATGCTAAATACAAGCTAAATACAGAGCTACAATACAGAGCTAAATAGGTCGCTTGTGAGACTAACAAGGGGACCTTATGGTCTCGGAAATTCGGTTTGGGATGAGACTTTGCAGGTTAGTAGTATACCTCAAGGATGTCCACCCAGAAGAATTGTAAAGCGCACTAACCAGAAGATTCCGAGAAAAAGGGCTCAAAAGTTTTAATCGCAGCTCATATACGGGTCGATTTTATACTATGGAAGTGCAGCGAAATGGCTGATTTTGTAGTGAACTTGCTTGCAACGTGGGCGATCTAGGTTTGATTCTAGCCTTGGCTAACGTTTTTTTTAAATTATTTTAAAAATTATAACAACTTTTAAATAATGTAAAAAAAAAAAAATTTAAAAAAAAAAAAGTTAGCCAAGACTAGGATCAAACCTAGATTGCCCGCGTTGCAAGCGAGTTTGCTATAGAATCAGCCATTTCGCTGCACTTCCATAATGTAAAATCGACCAGTATATGAGCTGCGATTAAAATTTTAGATCCCTTTTTCTCGGAATCTTCTGGCTATTGCACTTTACAATTCTTCTGGGAAACATCACCATCGAAGTGTTGTGACTTTGTGACTCTTCTTACCTCATAATTTAACCAATTTTGACGTTTCTCCCTGTTAATAACCATGTTTAGCTTTATTTTTGACACTTATTCAAAACATCATTAAAATTTGTTGATTTGTATGATTATTTGATCTTTTTTATCTATAGGTCAGAGGTCACTGGAACTGCCAGGTGGTGAGAAAAGAAAGTGGGTTTTTCCCCTTCGCAAATTTAACTGCATATTAATTTTTAATTTAATTAATTCAACCAATTAATTGGACCAGAATCTCACACATTAAACTGTTTAATTTCTAATGTTTTTGGTCATATTTAATCAACCTTCTTCAGAATAAATATATAAAACAAATGACAGTTGTATTCCAATAGCCATTCGAATGTACTATCATTTGTTTTATATGTTTATCCTGAAGAAAGTGGGTTAAATACAGTCAAAAATGTTAGAAATTAAACAGTTTAATGTTATTTTTAAGATATTTGTGGAGTGTTTTAATATTAAGCACTACATTTTTTAGTAGTTCTAAAACAATGCTAAAGACATCATCTATCACTGTCGTTGTTTGTATGAATAAATTTTTACCATATAGAATGCTATATAGATACATTATATATACGCTAGATTCTTATTAATTTGGCCATTCCTTGCACAAAGAGTGCCAGATTAGTAAATGTTGAATTACTGTGTATAGTCCTAAAGGTAATGATGTGATCTTTTGCCCTTCAGTACTGATTCTGTTTGGAGCTGTTCTGTTTTTATTATTCTAAAATTATATATAGTGATACAGTAATAGTAAGTTTAATTCTTTATTAAATTTAATGTTGTGAGTTCATTCTATGTATTTAAAAAGCATGAATAAGAGACAAACATATTATGATGAGGGGATATGCTGGATAATTGAGAAACTTGATTAGTAAGGGCTGGATGAGACTGTAATATGTTAGATATCATTAAAGTTGATTCCAATATCTGAAACTTTATAAACTGCAATCAGTTTTATTCTTATTCTTCTTGGAATATATTCATAAATTTAAATAGAAATATTCTCTCTTATTCACACCCAGATTCTTTAACATTACGAAGTCAACACACCTTAATACTGAGAAAGCACACTTATTCAGCTAAACATTTTCAACCCATTTCCATGGGCCATCATCAGGTTAAAGATGTTCGAATCAATGACTTTTCGAACACGTTCAAATTTAAATTATATTAGAACATATGTTGAAATAAAATTAAGTAAACAAGCATAATGAAATTAATACAATAAATAAGAAAAACAAAATAATATATAAATGAATACAAAACACGGTAATTCCCCACAATACAATATGTAAACATTTTTTTATATAGTAACTCAGGTTTTTATTGAGCCTGGTGGATGTATCATCTTACGAGTTCTTTCTCATTATATATTTCCATGCCAATAGTAAAATGGTTGCATCTTTATAGTTTAAACATTTATCATTTAAACTAGATCTGTAGATTTCACACTTCTCTGTTGTGGATGCTAGTGTAGGCAAGTGCACCTTTGCAATGATTCTGGCCTCTTCCCATTTAACTATGGATCCATCCGTCTGCGCTATTTTTTATAACGCTGTTGTATATCAGCTCTTTGCTACGTCATACTTATGTTCTTTTGCTACATCATACGTGAGATCTACAGATCTAGTGCTTGTGTAGACTTAGCAAAAGTAATAATAGGTAGGTTACCATAAAATTGCAATAGCCAAAGATCACTAGCAACATATCATTGTGCAAGGAACTGCCATATGCAAACCAGAGATATACAGGACAATATTCATTAAAAAACAAAAAGGCTGAATAAGAACAAGTATTAAATTTTTTATCTTTTGAGTTTGATATGCCTGTTTTCTGTTTTATCCAGTAGTCAACTGTTTGTAACTTTTTATGCTGTTTATTTTTAAACTTGTATAGGCTGTCAGTGGGAAATGACAGAAAGTGAGGGTCTTCCCCTCACTTTCTGTCATTTCCCACTTGAGCACAAAGAACATTGGTTGGGAAGATACTACTCCTGCCTCCCTTGTGTCTACATCCTTGCTAAGAATTATAATTGTTTGATTTTAGGGACTGTAAAAGATTCTATAGAAATGACTTTTGCTTATTTTCATTGAAGTCAATATTAAAGTAAAAATAATTTTTGTAAATATTGAATACTTTTAAATCCATTATTTCAGGATTTCAGTTAATCTAGCAATATATTTTTAAATTAAATTTGGTTTTTTGCCAAAATATATTATTAATACTAATATAAATCACACATTTATTTATTAAAGAATTAATTTTATATTTGTGTGGTAGTGAAACAATTGTAATGATTAATTTAAAATAATTGTTAAGCAGAATTTTAGTATTTCATCATTAATGTAATTAAATATATTAAATTTCAGTGGAATTATCCATGTTGGTAATGAAACATTTGTTATTCATCCTTTCTATGGTGGTGATCTTTCAGTGAGTATTTATTTTTAAATATGAAGTGCAAAATATTTTCAATAAAACTGTAAACTTTGTAAAACGGAAATCTATACTATGTTTGATAAGCTATTTTATATAAGTTGACATTTAATCACACTGAAAAACTTTTTATATATCAAATTTTACATGTTTCTTTAAGACATTTGTATAATTATAGAAATTTTGTAACTTAATACATTTCATCTTACTGATCATTGTATTATGCAAAACTAACATTATGGTCTTACCATTGAATATAACACAATAATTAATAGCCAAAAAGTCAAATAACATACTTTGGTTCCAATAATATTGTCCAGGTATGCCAAAGTATGTTGGATTTTTTCAGATTATATCTTGAATAAATTTTTAAACTAATTTTTCTTAAAGATAAGCCAAAGTCACCAACTTTTATAAATATTAATAATTAGAAAATTGATTTTAAAATTTATTAACTAATTTAGAAGCATTTTGAAAGAAAAATTTGATGTGGAATGGTAACTGAAACTGCAATGTTTGCATGCTAAGTAATTATGTTATTGATTACATTGTCCAGACTTCAATTTGATATTTATCTTTAGACATAAATAATTTTTAAATTTTTGTATAATAGATGAGTGGCTCTAGATAAAGACATCTCCAATTGGTGTAATGATAATTAAAAAGTATAGTCAGGTAATAATTTCAAAATTGTATACATATCTGCAGTGGTGCACTCAGGATTTAATCTTGGGGAAGCTGAGTTGATTGCATAGAAAATTTACATGCCAATGCAATAAAATTCCCACCTTAAGTGATTGCTAATTCGTAAGTAGTATCTATACTACAGATACAGAAGATATGACACAATATTAAAAAATGAAAAAAAGAATTTCAATTAGGAAAAGAGTTTTGGAAAATTTTCTAGTGTTTTTCCCCATTTCTTTGGATGGTGCCAGGGCTCCTTGGTCCTCCTCTGGGTGTGCCACTATCTGGATGCACAGATCAATATGTATAGTGTAACTGGTAATGTACCCACTTGATATGCAAGATTTGTGTATTCAAATTCAATTTTGGATTAAATTTTTTTCTAGATATTTTTAAATTTAATTAAACAAAAAATTAGTTTAGTAATTTATTCAGAACACAATCTCTGATAAAATTTATGTAGGTTGCCTTCAAGAAATTTAGGTGTTACCTAAGTGTAAACACTTACACTAATTTATACCCTTGTCGTTTTATTTGTTATATGTTTATTATTTAAATGCTTTTTTTATAACAATCTTAAATTTGTAAATTTTATTTGAAATGGTATTCAAATTTATGAAAATATTATATATTATCTTGGATTTCTTCATTGTGTTTCCATTTGTGCCAGCTTCACACATATTTTATATGTTTTTAACTATATTTGAAATAACAAGAATGTTATTAAATAAATATTCAATAATTTATGATTTTTGTTTCTAGAGAAGACATCCTCATGTTATATATCGATATTTTGGAGAAGTCAAAGAAAAACATACTTGTGGTAAGTATTGCTTTAAAATAAATATAAACATAAAAACGTTTTACACTTTCATTGTTATAATTTTGTAAATTAATAAAATATAGATTAATATTTTTATTAAGAGTTTATCATGCAAATTTGTAATCACACTTATGTGATTTCACAACTTTTTTATTTTTTTCCATTGTCTAGTATAAAATTAATACAGTATACAAACAACTAAAATATTTTTTCTTTGTTAAAATGCATGTTGGGTTTTTTAATTGTAATTCCTCTTCAGTTAGCATTCTTTTAAAACCCTCAATAAAGAATGTTAACTAATTATTTACTTATTTTGTAAATTTCTAAGACATGTATTTAAATAAAACTAATTTTTGCAAAAATTAAATAATCACTGACTCTAAAATTTATTAACAGTGTTAATGTATTGTTCACTAATTTTGGATTTTATTGAATTAATATTAAATATCACTTAAACCATATTAATTGTACATTTTAAGTGCTTACTTGGCATAAACTTAATAGAATAATCAGTTATACATTGTTCAATATTGTGCATTTTCTAATGTTTTAATTAGCTGTGTTCAGGGGAATAATGTAGAGCTAAGCACTTATATTTATTATCTTTTAACTTTAGTTTGTTATATCTATCTTATTTTACATATAAAATTTATTTTGGTGTTAATAGAGTGTATATAAAACATGTTAATAACGTTTATTCAAAATATGAAATTAATGTTATATGGACTTTAGAAGATACTGAAAAAATCAAGGGTGTATATCACATAGAAATCATATTTTATTGATTAAGATTGTTAAGCTTACTAATTTCTATAGTATATTATGTGTTGTTTAATTTAATTTTGTATTATCATTTTACAATGATCACACATTTTTCAGGTAATACAGGAATGCATGAATGGGGTTTTAAGCAATTTAGGATACATCCTGGAAGAATTAAAGTAAGAAAATAAAATTATAAAATAGGAAATTTATGTAATAATAATAGTTTAAGTTTATTTTTCTGTTAATAAGTTTTTCTAATAAAATTTTAATCTGTTATAAACAGAAAATAATTATTAAAATGTTAAAGTTGATAGAATATATTTTGTATGTTTTGTGCTAATGCACTTTGGACATAACAGGTCCCATTTCAGTCTTAATACATAGATCCTTTTCAGAGTTTGTAGGCATATGCATACAATTCATTAATTTTATAATAAAAACTTCTCAACATATATACATATGTGACAAAAAAAAAATCCACCAAATGAGAACATTTTAAGCAGGACACATAAACTTGAAAAGAAAATTTGTACTATTTGAAACAACATTCATAAAAATTGAATATAGTTTTTATTAAAAATTAAAATATAGTTTTTATATAGGAATTTCTTACAAAATGGGACATTATGATAATTATTTAAAAAATGGCACTTAAATTATTTTCTGATATTTTAAAATTACAAACGTGGTAGATGCATATACAAGGTCTGTTCAAAAAGTATCGGACCTTATTTTTTTCCGCGTAAACCAATGATGCGAGAGAGGCCTCCTTCGGTGGAGTTGTGGAGGGGACAGTCATGCACAGCCCTGAATTTTTTCCCGCCTGCAGAAAGCGTCAGTCGTTGGCAATCGGCGTATGAGTGAGGTCATGTAGTGCGCTCTCGTCGGATTTCACTAAGCTGGAAAATGACTGAACAACGTGAGCAGCGATATTACATCAAATTTTGCCAAAAACCTTGGCGATACCCGAGTGTAAACCATTCGCAAGATTCAGCAGGCTTTCGGGGACGATCCTCGAGGCCAAAAAAAGCGCGGCAGGTCCGCAGCAATATCAAAGGTCATGTTGACAGTTTTTTCGACTCTCGTGGGGTGGTGTGTCGTGAGTACGCACCACAAGGCCAAACCATCGCAAAGGAGTACTACCAGGAGGTCCTTCGTCGTCTTTCCGATACAGTGCGATGCAAACGATGGGATCTGTGGTCGATCAAAACTTGGCAGCTCCATCGTGATAACGCATCCGCCCATTCTGCGCATCTGATTCGGGCTTTCGTCGCCAAACACAATACTCCTGTGGTTCGTCACGCTCCGTACTCTCTCCACATGGCTCCGTGTGACCTTTGGCTATTTCTCAAGCTGAAAATGCCGCTAAAAGGAACCCAAATTTAGTCGAGAGAAGACATCATGCGAAATGCGACGGACCGGCTGATAACCATTCCAAAAGATGCGTTCCAGCAGTGTTTCCAGCAATGGCAGGAACGCTGGGAGAAGTGTATACATTACCAAGGAGACTACTTTGAATGGGATTAGGGTTTTGTACCTCAAAGTCAATAAATTTATTTTTGCCGACCAAAGGTCCGATACTTTTTGAACAGACCTTGTATGTTTCTAAAAGTATTGAAAAGAAGTTTTATTATCTTGGCAATCATACATAATGATAGCTTGTAACATTTGCAAAAAAGACTTCAAAATTTTCTTAAAAAATATATAAATAAAACTGAAATTATAACAGCTTCATTAATAATATGTTTTTATCATTCTAAAATTTTATAGAAACAAATATTTATAGTATTTAAATTTAAAGAAATGCTAAATATATATAAAATTTAAAAGTTTTAATCTTGTCAGCTTACATGCATTAAATAAATATCATAAGCTGTATGTTTTTAATAAATGTTAGAATAAATACTTTGTAAGCATAATAAAGCATTATTTATGAAAGATATTGAATTCTAAACTATAAATTTAATTCAATATGATTGATATTACTTGAAGCAATATCAAAATATTTAGTGAATTTATTTTTAATCTAATATAATTTAAAAATTTATTTTTATTATATATAGCGAGATGTGAGAGAAGTATTCAAGTTTATTGAATTAGGGTTAGTTCTTGATCAGGCAATGGTATGTTTTTTACATGCATAAAATTTTTTGCAATTATTTTTAAGTATAAATTTCTAGATTTTAATATAACTTTCTTATTTTAGTTCGATAATCGAAATGCAACAAGATCAGAAGTTGTCAATGATGCAATTCAAGTTGTTAACTGTGTAGATATGGTGAGTATTCTTTTAACTTACTGTAGCCAATGTGGTGAGGGATCATTGCTTGTAAATTAAACACTTCTTATTTTTCATCTTCTGTTAATACCTTATTTATTTTTCTGTCTTCTAATTTGAATTCAGTTAATGTTAAAATTAAGAATAAATAAATTTGTAAAATTTAATTTTTACTTGAAACAGTGTTAACTCTCTGAGACTAAACTTTACTTTGGGGTCTGTTAAAGAAGCAGATCTGATTACTCTGTGGGTTAGTGACCAAGAATCAATAACTGCTAGTGTAATGGAAATACAATAAATTTTAAGAAAAAAACAGTTAAACAAATAATTGGGCTGCAATTTGAAAAAAATGTAAATTTATAAATTGCCACTGTTGTCCATCTGTTTGTCTTTTCTTAATTTTGAGAATGGAGTTAGATAGATGAAATATGAGATCAGATATGGAAAGCTTATGGGCACAAGGTCCCAATTAACTATACACAAACTTCCAATGCAAACCTGAAGTCATGTAATTTCAATTCAAAAATTTCCCTGAAAGCAGTTAGATGACTTTACCACTCAATTGCTAAAGGAAAAGTATTATGTACAGGGGCAAGCCACTACTAATTTGAAGTGGAGAGCATATATTTTAAATTAAATTTAAAAATATATTAAAAATTACAGCCCAGCATTGTGATGATGTCACAATAAATAATTGCTTGTTTTTAATAAATGAGCAAAAAATGGAACAACAATGGTTTGTTACAATTAATAACTAAAATCAAGAACTCTTAAACTAGTATTATTTACTAATTAATTTAACAATTTTTTCAAATAATGTTTAACATTCAACAAAAAGTGTATATTTACAAAAAAGTAATGATAAATTACTGATAACAAATTCTGTAAAATTACACTTCAAGAACCAAATTCTTTCTTATCACAGATCAACTCATGTACTGTTACTAGAATACACCTCCTCTCTTTTCCACTTTGCTCTCATCTACTTATACACATTTAGTACAGTGATGTTATAGTCACAATCTTTTCATTTACACATTTCATCATTGTGCTTAATCTACATTTTTTTGTTTCTCATGATGACAGTAAACTCTTGACATAAAAAATTGCTTAAAATTTATTTATATGATGATTACATTGATTAAACAGTATGTTAATTTTGCTTTTCTGAGATTTGCTGGATGTTTTCTTGTCACATGGTTAATAGTGTTTTCCAGGAAGACTGTGGATGGAGAGATGTTTTAGACTTTTGTTTTCATGGTTGAGAGTGTAAACTAGTTGTCCAAAACTTAACATAAACAAAATAAACAGAAATGGAGTAGTGTTCCTTTTCATAAATTGTATGTATATATTTACAATTTCAGTCAGTTCCCTGCAAAGCATTTTCTTGCATAACTTTTGAGAATATTTGATAATACATACATACATATATNGTTTGTTAGGAATACACACAACTCTCATGCACTTCATTAAAATATAAGATTTGTTAAAGAATCAAACTATAAGTTTGTTTACTTTTCTTAGTCCATTTTTGATTTCGTAGTTTTTCTAATTTTCAGTTGAACTAATTAAATTTACGTACAGCCTTATCTGTAAAAAATGACAAAATGATTTATTTACTTTGCAAAAATTTTAATTTGTCCATTTTGTTCTGCATTATATATACCCGAAGATGTCTGTTATAAACATATGAAAACATTAGTAGAAATGTGTTAATTTGAAGTATGCTGGTGTAGGTGTTTGATATGTGTTTAAAAATGTTTACATTTTAATGTTCCTCTATCAATAATCTCTGCAAATTGTATCATCATCTCTGTTTTCTGAAATGTTAGTTATATAATTTACTAGAAAAATTCTATACCCTGCATGCCACTGAATAGCAACAGAAATATATGTTGCCACAAATTAACATATAATTACTTATGAGAAAATTCAAATTAATTTAATTATAAGTGAAAATTGTACTTAAATTAGCACTTTGGTTAATCGATAAAAGCAACAGAAAATTAACAAAAAATATAATTGTTGTTAATTATTGCTTTTATAATCCATTAATTTACATATTTTAAATTAAGCAAAATTATAATGTACAGTACAACTTATTTTTTTTAACAGTTTAAAAATATTTTGGTTAAAATCTGTCAGTTAATAATGCTTTATTAACTAATCATTATTTTATTAAATTTTACCTGTTGCTAAATAACTTCTGTTGATCAAGATTGTTATTATTATATCTTTCAAAATAATTTCTCTTTTGTTAATTTTAAAAAGTTACAATTGATATAAAATAAGGTCCTTAACCTAAAATTTATTATTATTATGATGGTGATAAAAAGATAATCTTTTCATGAGTTTATTTTTATATTAGGTATAATAATTTGTTTAGATTGTAATAAAGATTAACATTATGATAGATATCTAAATTATTATAAATATTACTTACTTTATAATGTACAGTATTTCAGAACTGTGAATACCAGAGTTTCTGTAGTGTATGTAGAGACGTGGGCTCATGGAGATCAAATAGAAATTAACAATGATGTTCGTCAAACTTTGCTGAATTTTATGGAGTATGCCTCTCGAAAATTATATAAAGTTGCAAAAGATGCCACTCATTTGCTAACGTACGTATATCTGATATTCAAAAATTACATATAAAATTTATTAAATCCTTGTTAAAATAAAAGAAAAGACATTTTTAATTTTTAAATGTACATTAAACTCAAATATTTCATTAATTTTTTTATATCAAGCAATTTATTTTATACACTAATATTTAATACAAAAAAAGGAAATAAAGAACTTAAAGAAAGTAAATATTGGATCAGATAGTTTGCTCTTTAATTAAATTTTTTTGGTATGTGATTATAAAAATTTACAAGTTTTTAACTTTATTACATTTATTTATTAGTTTTGCTGTCAAAATGTGTATATTTTTTCTTATATTTCCACTAAAAGTAAATATTGTATTATCTGCAAAGTAAAAGAAAAACTGTGAAGAATGTAATAATATAAAATTTCTACTTTCTTTAGTTTTAATTTATTTTCAAATTATGATAAATTTTTAAATTTATTCTGACCAAACTGTGATATGCTTATGTTAACTCATTTGTATAGATCAGTGTTTCCATACTATAAGAGAACAATAAATCAAGAACAACTTTAATCTGGTCAACAAGGCTGTGCTTTTACAGTTTACTTTTGGGTGTCATCTTACCATGGACTACCCTTTTTTCTCTTATCTCATAAAATATGGTTGAGTTTTGAGATTGAAAGATTGGGTCACAAGTAACAAATAGAATTATTTGTAGGGCTCTAGACTACTACATTTAGGCAACTTACTACTTTTTGGGTTATTTTAAAAATGATTTAGGCTACATTTTGAGGAATTCTGCTTTACTTTTTATAAAACCTATCTAGCAAGTTGTGAGGTTCTCACCAGACACATGCTATTAACTTGCAGTTTGTTTATATTATTATTATTAATTAATGAAAATATCATTCTGTGTATGTAGCCATATTTTGTTTGCTTACTAAATTACATCAGTTACATGGTATTTGGTGTATTGTACAGAAATATGTAAATCTTGTATAATTCAAAACTCAATAATTTGAAGTCGTGGTTATTTCATCCTTTGAATTTCAAACTAACAACAATTTCCTGTATTATAAAATTATTTACAGGAAAAAATTAAATAGCCCAGAACAACTTTCACTCACAAGAGGTACTAGGGAAGTTGATCTTGTTTAAATTTAAGCACTCTTGTGATTTTTGTATATAATTTGTTTCATAAATATTCTTAATTTGGGGAAGTCAGATGGTGCAGGGATTATCTACTTTAAATTAACAATGGAAAATAGATTTCCTCTCCTTTTATAATGTTGTGGTTGGTTTTTTCCTTCAAGTTTGTTAGGAATACACACAACTCTCATGCACTTCATTAAAATATAAGATTTGTTAAAGAATCAAACTATAAGTTTGTTTACTTTTCTTAGTCCATTTTTGATTTCGTAGTTTTTCTAATTTTCAGTTGAACTAATTAAATTTACGTACAGCCTTATCTGTAAAAAATGACAAAATGATTTATTTACTTTGCAAAAATTTTAATTTGTCCATTTTGTTCTGCATTATATATACCCGAAGATGTCTGTTATAAACATATGAAAACATTAGTAGAAATGTGTTAATTTGAAGTATGCTGGTGTAGGTGTTTGATATGTGTTTAAAAATGTTTACATTTTAATGTTCCTCTATCAATAATCTCTGCAAATTGTATCATCATCTCTGTTTTCTGAAATGTTAGTTATATAATTTACTAGAAAAATTCTATACCCTGCATGCCACTGAATAGCAACAGAAATATATGTTGCCACAAATTAACATATAATTACTTATGAGAAAATTCAAATTAATTTAATTATAAGTGAAAATTGTACTTAAATTAGCACTTTGGTTAATCGATAAAAGCAACAGAAAATTAACAAAAAATATAATTGTTGTTAATTATTGCTTTTATAATCCATTAATTTACATATTTTAAATTAAGCAAAATTATAATGTACAGTACAACTTATTTTTTTTAACAGTTTAAAAATATTTTGGTTAAAATCTGTCAGTTAATAATGCTTTATTAACTAATCATTATTTTATTAAATTTTACCTGTTGCTAAATAACTTCTGTTGATCAAGATTGTTATTATTATATCTTTCAAAATAATTTCTCTTTTGTTAATTTTAAAAAGTTACAATTGATATAAAATAAGGTCCTTAACCTAAAATTTATTATTATTATGATGGTGATAAAAAGATAATCTTTTCATGAGTTTATTTTTATATTAGGTATAATAATTTGTTTAGATTGTAATAAAGATTAACATTATGATAGATATCTAAATTATTATAAATATTACTTACTTTATAATGTACAGTATTTCAGAACTGTGAATACCAGAGTTTCTGTAGTGTATGTAGAGACGTGGGCTCATGGAGATCAAATAGAAATTAACAATGATGTTCGTCAAACTTTGCTGAATTTTATGGAGTATGCCTCTCGAAAATTATATAAAGTTGCAAAAGATGCCACTCATTTGCTAACGTATGTATATCTGATATTCAAAAATTACATATAAAATTTATTAAATCCTTGTTAAAATAAAAGAAAAGACATTTTTAATTTTTAAATGTACATTAAACTCAAATATTTCATTAATTTTTTTATATCAAGCAATTTATTTTATACACTAATATTTAATACAAAAAAAGGAAATAAAGAACTTAAAGAAAGTAAATATTGGATCAGATAGTTTGCTCTTTAATTAAATTTTTTTGGTATGTGATTATAAAAATTTACAAGTTTTTAACTTTATTACATTTATTTATTAGTTTTGCTGTCAAAATGTGTATATTTTTTCTTATATTTCCACTAAAAGTAAATATTGTATTATCTGCAAAGTAAAAGAAAAACTGTGAAGAATGTAATAATATAAAATTTCTACTTTCTTTAGTTTTAATNGGTATTTTATGACCGCACGAGTCTCTGTCTTCTCCATTTTTGACAAAGCATGTGCACATTGACTATCTGCTAAGCTGTCGTGGCAAAACTTTACGACAAATCAAGCGGAAATTGGTATCGTATCTTTAGCAAGGATGACTGAATTATTCCCGCCAAAAATTAAATTGATCGCAGCGCCGCATATAGGCAAGGCCACAAACTTTTCGAATAGCCCTCATAATTCTGTTTTAAAAATTGTTCAGATAAAATAAATTGCTAGATTAAAGGAAACTTCTCAAGATAAATTTAGAACCCATTCATTCATTGATTTATGAAGGAAATAATAAATATTTTAAATTAAAATCTGGTATGTTCATTTATGTTCAGATTGAAACACTTTCAAAACAAATATGATCATTACAGATAAGAATGTTTTAGATCAGAAAACTCCAATCTTTTTCTAGGAAGGGCCACATGACCTGTAAAAGACAATTCTGGGGGGCCAGACACAAAAGATATAGTCAAAGATTAGGATTTTTTTTATTTCTGAATAACAATGGACATAAATTGATGTGAAATTTGTAATTACTTTTTCAAAAGGACATATCAAAATGCATTTTCTAAGCAAAGATAGAAGCAAAGATAGAAAATATCCCTTATGAAAACTTCTTAAGACTTAAAATTTCTTCTGGCAGCGATCTGTAAAAATTTAACAAACTCCCTTCTTTAAAGAGCTTTTTACTTGTATAAAAATTGTTTGTGGCAAGTCTGTTAATTCTAATTGACTTTTGAAAAGTTCATTTGTTTTTAACTAGTCAAATATTGATGATAAAACACATTTGGTGAAAATGAACTATAAAGATTGGTAAATATACCTTGTCATAGGTTAGAGACCCCACTTTATATCACTTAAATTGTTATAATTTTTAAAATATAATGTGTACTAGCTATCATATAAATGATAGCTAGTAAACATTGTATTTTAAAAAATCTGTTTAGTAAATATAGGTTGAAAACTCAACCATTACTGCGATAAATAATCCAACAATAGAATTTTTGATAGTTTGTGAATCTGTAGGAAGATGCCAAGGGTGCATGGAAATAGAAATGGAGGACATAAAGAACACTTCTTGTAAATATCAATATAAAGGGTTGACGCTGCGAGTGAATATCAATATAAAGATTTGGCAAGGTTATTTTTTTCATAACATTAATCATTCTTATGTTACTAATATGCAAAATTGTTAATATCTCAGAAATGGTTGAGTTTTCAATCTTGTTTACTCAGTTTTTCAAGCTTACAAGGAGAACATCACTACATGCAAACCATATAATACTTAGCACTAATGTATAATTTGTATTTTACTTTTTTATGAGAAATAGAAATATCAAGCATACAGAAGTATCCTCTTAAGTGGCAAAACAGCATATATTTCACTACCAAATAAATGTTAGTACATTAGACCCCCCCCTATAATATGGTAGATACATTCTGTTTTATATGAATTTGTGTTTTACGATCACTTAAATACATGAGCCAATCACAGCCTGGCACGCATACAGTTTAGGGACTACGGCTGTTTGAAAGGTTTTCTTCCATAAAATTAATTGATTCTAGACTAATTTGACTCAACATTTCCAAAACATGTATAATTTTTTGGGAATAATCCATATAAACTATGCTATAAACAAAATTTGTAGGATTACTTACCGAGTGAGCACCGTTCGACAATGCCATTGCTGAAGCTTGTTTTTGTCATGGAGTGGCGCATCGAATGGCGGGCACGTGTTTTCTAATGTTAGTTTTCTGTGAAAAATTTGCTGAACTTTGGAGACATCATTAATATAAATATAATTTTTATGGACATTAAATAATAAATGGTTTTTAATAGGTCCGCTGCTCGTTTAGACTTAAAGGTTTGTGCAATATTTGCTATTGGTCTAGATTCGACCAATCCTGTCACAACACAAGGCGGCGGCGACATTTTACCGTATTATACGAGTCTCTTTTAGTGTGTTTATATGAATACAATCGCAATTTTTTCGCTGTTATATACGAATTTGTATTATATGAACCCATTTTATAGGGGTCTACTGTACTAAGTATTACACTATTTTCATGTAATGATGTTTTTCTTGTCAGTATAGATTTTATTATGTATTGTATAAATGCTGAATGCTTACTTTAACATTCTGTTTAAACACTTTTTTATTTCACATATTATTTATAATAATTCTTATGATAATAATTATTATATTGTACAAATGTTAATATATTTAAATATTTATTGAATTATAAAAGTTGATATACTTTAAGCTTTTCATATTGCAAATGTTCGTAATACACATCAATGAAAATGCAATAATTTTTTGAATGCATTAACATAAAAATTGATACATTCAATAGTTAAGATACTAAACAAGGATTTATTGTTTTAAAAGTACATTATATTGATATTTTATTTTGATTTTCATCATAATTTTAATTTAAATAATTACAGAGGTCATCATTTTAAGGGAACAGAAGTCGGAATGTCTGTTCCTGATAGTATATGTACAGCTAAAGCAGTAGGAGTTAGTCAAGTAAGTTATTAAACTGTGTTTTAATGCACTTGGATAATTATAATTAAAACACTTTAATTACTTTATTATATATGTTAATATATAAAAAAAATGTTGCAAAATATATATTTAAAAGATAACTTCATTTGCAAATATTCAGAAATTATCTGAAAAAAATTGGATATAAAAAGTGGTTAAATGAACATTTTCCAAGAAATAATTAAATATTTAAAAAATTTTTGCTTAAAACACAGTTTTAGTAGTATTAGAGATAATTACAAAAAATAAAATATTTTGCTTTATTAGATTGAAAAATATTTGTCACTATATTATTTAGTTTGAACCTGTTTCTCATGTTCAGGATACAAGCATTCATGAACCACATCTTGTAGCAAGTACAATGACACATATGCTAGGACATAATATTGGAATGAGCCACGATCAGTTTGACAGTGAGTGTGCATATATCAAAGACATTTTTTATTTTAAAAAATATGCAAAAATATTTTTTATTTTACTTGATCTTAAATATTTTAATTTTTTTTACTACAGGTGATTGTGAATGTCAAGATTGGTGGGGATGTATTATGGCTCAGACAATACTGTAAATATCAATTAAAACTTTAGTGGAAGTTTAGTATAATGATATAATATGAAAACTTTGTAATTTTTATTATTTTTAATTTAAAGTGGTACCAACAAGATACAACCATATCACTTTTCAAAGTGCAGTTTGCAGGATTATGTTAATGCTCTTCGTATTGGTCATGGAATTTGTTTATTTAATAAACCAAATCAGGTTTTAATTATTTTCCTAAATACAGTTAATCATTTTAATATTAGTTATTAATTTTTATATTCTGTCTGGCAGTTGGAAGATTTTAAGACGTGTGGAAATAAAGTGATTGAAGAAGGCGAGCAATGTGATTGCGGAAGTATTGAGGTAAATCATTAAAGTAATGGTTAACATTCATTTATCATTAATAATAATAATAATAAAATACAAGACTTAGAATCTGCAGAATTTAATATTAAAACAAATTGAACTAAAGATATACAAATTATTTATATTTTTTCGTCTAAAAATTGATGAAATAAATTTATGATAAAATAGTCCAAGATAATAAGTTTACTGAAATTTCACAAAAAAATAGAAAAAAAACACTAAAATAAATTAAAAGCCTCTTCACATTTCTTTGCTAAGCTTCATTTCCACATTACAAGAAACTATTTCAGAAACAAACACCAGAAAAAATTTCTAGAAATTTTTGCTTCAAATGGATTCTGGATGGAAAAAAAAGAGTTGAAAATGTGTATATAAACATTCCAAAGCCCAATATTTTAGTAATATTCAAATGATTGCCAGATTAAATTAGGCTACTTTACTGCTATTATTTTAAATTAAATTCTAAATAATTTGGTACTACAGGCATTTGGCATCATCTCTTATTATAATTAAATTAATATTTAATAAATAATTTTGAATATTCTGGAAGAAAAGAATCTGCCCAGAGTAGGACTCGCACTAGCAACACCTGCTTTACCCAGCAAGGTGTGTATATAGTGTATATATATATATGTAAGCGTATATGCTTGATATACTTATATATATGTATATATCTTTTGGGTAAAGTGTTAGCTGGCTAAGTGCCATTGTGGAGATGTACTTAGGCTAAGGGTGTAGGATTTGTTCTTAGCTGGTTCTGTGATTAACCATGTAAGGTTATATCTAAATTTAAATACATCTGGCGACAAAGGCTTGCTCATGGTTCGGGTGGCGCAACTGACAAGCAGAGGTTGTGGGTTCAAGCCCCATTCTGTGCCAATTCTTTTTTTCCAAGTGAATCTAAAATTATTTAANTCCTCGTTAATCGATTCAGAACGATTTTTAAATGTTTTTGTTTTTGATAAAATAAATAATATTTGCTTATGGAACTAAAGAGCAGCAGCTTCACATCCAAAGAGCCGCATGTGGCTCGCGAGCCGCAGGTTGCTGACCCCTGCACTATCCTATCATGTATCTACGATACATTGATGATATTTTACTTGCATGGGATAGCTCTGCAGAGGATTTAGACAAATTTATTCAAATGCTAGCTTCAATATATCCTTCTATAAATTTCACAGTAGAAGAGGAGCAAGAAAACACAATTTCTTTTTTAGATTTAGAAATGCATAGATATTCGGAGCTAACTTTTGCGGTCCACCATAAAAACAACAGATGGCCAGATATTATCCCTGTAACTGCTTTCCAACCCCCAAGCTTTTGTTAACTCTGCTATCACTTCACTTATTTGGAGAGTGCTCCTCATTCCATCTTCCCAGACATTAATAGATGAAGAATTCTAATTATCAGTGATGCAGTCACATTATTTCAATTCAAAAATTTTCTCCTGGGTCCTTAGTCTCAAGTTTTTATGTTACAACTCCCAACATGTTGAACGTGTCACGTGGTACCATCTCACACTCTGACATCAAATTGGTAGTCTCAAGTTATAACTCACGTGCTTTCCCATCTCATCATGTGAGTTCCTACTCACTTTGAGTTGAGCATGTGAGATCTCTACATGAAAGTGAAAATGGCTGACGGATATGCTATTCTGATCACAATCAAAGCATTAGAAAGAACTGAAAGAGTTGTTTAATTAAGAAGGCAACAAATTACTCGACCATGAGTAGATGCCATTTCTTTCCATGTCAAGTCAACACTAATAAAAAGTTTTAATTCATAATTAATAAAATTATACAACAAATTTTGCCAAAAATAAAAAGAAGTATTTAATTCATCGAAAAAGAGAATTCAAATATAGTAAATTATTAGGAGCATATACATTATATTAAGATTATTTATTAATCAGAAATGTTAAGTTCTGATTAATAAATAATCTTAATAAACAAAACAATTTAAGAAATAGATCAAGGAAGAAAACTATATGAAGTAAGGATTAAATTAAAATACTTTTTCCATTACACAATGGATTTTTTAGCTCCAACACATGCAATTAATTTTTCAACTAATTCTCTCTACAAATCTAATTGTCTTTTTCTTGTAAATTCATTGTTGAATTTTCCACTGTTTGTTTTCTTATTATTTTCTATATATGTTACTAATATTTCTTTTTTGTTCTTCACTTATTTTTAAAAATAAAACATTGGAAGTTTCCATTTTGCTTCTGCATACTCTATTGCTATAAGTCAAAATTTTAACTGTAACACATGTAAACTAATCATGTTGATTTGTTTACAACTTGTTACAGTTAATTTGATTGGTCGAATCATGAGTCTAACTTCAGACTACCAGTTATGTGAGTCATAGTAAGACGAGTGAGTTCAATGACGTCAATTTGAGTACAACACAAAAAACGCAAGACTAAGGGCCCTGAATGGAGTTAGATGACTAGCATGACTCTGTTGCTAACAGGAAAAGTATGTTATACTCAAACATTTAAATAAGTTCAAAATTTCCAAAAGCTCAAAAGCTTTAGAAGACTTCTTCAAAGGCTTTGTTACAATTTTGTAGTCATTCAAAGGTTTTATTTCAATGATAACACAAGTAGTTCTGAAAAACATTTAATTTGAAAGAAAATTTGGACTTCTTCAGTAATTCTAGCATTTCACTATTCTTTATACTTATTATGGAGTTGTACAACCTGCTTAATTGTGTAAATAAATTGTCATAACATTAGTAAAATATATGTTGAAAAACAGATAAAAATGATTAGAAAATACATACAAGAGAATTACACTTTTGAAGATATTTACCTAATATTCTTATATAGACTATATAAAAAGAAGACCTGCAAAACAAGTTATATCTACAGTGCATGGTAATATTACTTGGATTTGACTTGATTTTAAAGGGCTAATAATATATACAATATTATAAACAACAGTGATGATGTTTTGGCCTTACACTGCTTCAGAAAATATACTTAGTAAAGAATAAGAACTATAGCAAAAATTCAATATAATTTGTTTTGTGTGCCAGCTCTTCATATATTGAAACTTTAATTTACAATGGCAAATTATTTGGGTTTTGCTTTTAATGATTTGCATTCTCAAAAATTTTCTAATTATCATTGTGTTTTCTTGCTCCTCTTCTACTGTGAAATTTATAGAAGGATATATTGAAGCTAGCATTTGAATAAATTTGTCTAAATCCTCTGCAGAGCTATCCCATGCAAGTAAAATATCATCAACGTATCGTAGATACATGATAGGATAGTGGATTGTTAAAGGTGCATGAAAAATACGATTTTCTATATTCCTCATAATGAGTTCTGCTAAAATAGGTGACAAGCGAGTACAAGTGGCTGAGAGATAGAATCGGTGCCTAATCCTCGTTAATCGATTCAGAACGATTTTTAAATGTTTTTGTTTTTGATAAAATAAATAATATTTGCTTATGGAACTAAAGAGCAGCAGCTTCACATCCAAAGAGCCGCATGTGGCTCGCGAGCCGCAGGTTGCTGACCCCTGCACTATCCTATCATGTATCTACGATACATTGATGATATTTTACTTGCATGGGATAGCTCTGCAGAGGATTTAGACAAATTTATTCAAATGCTAGCTTCAATATATCCTTCTATAAATTTCACAGTAGAAGAGGAGCAAGAAAACACAATTTCTTTTTTAGATTTAGAAATGCATAGATATTCGGAGCTAACTTTTGCGGTCCACCATAAAAACAACAGATGGCCAGATATTATCCCTGTAACTGCTTTCCAACCCCCAAGCTTTTGTTAACTCTGCTATCACTTCACTTATTTGGAGAGTGCTCCTCATTCCATCTTCCCAGACATTAATAGATGAAGAATTCTAATTATCAGTGATGCAGTCACATTATTTCAATTCAAAAATTTTCTCCTGGGTCCTTAGTCTCAAGTTTTTATGTTACAACTCCCAACATGTTGAACGTGTCACGTGGTACCATCTCACACTCTGACATCAAATTGGTAGTCTCAAGTTATAACTCACGTGCTTTCCCATCTCATCATGTGAGTTCCTACTCACTTTGAGTTGAGCATGTGAGATCTCTACATGAAAGTGAAAATGGCTGACGGATATGCTATTCTGATCACAATCAAAGCATTAGAAAGAACTGAAAGAGTTGTTTAATTAAGAAGGCAACAAATTACTCGACCATGAGTAGATGCCATTTCTTTCCATGTCAAGTCAACACTAATAAAAAGTTTTAATTCATAATTAATAAAATTATATAGCAAATTTTTTCAAAAATAAAAAGAAGTATCTAATTCATCGAAAAAGAGTATTAAAATGATAGTAAATTATATGTATAAATTATTAAAAGCATAGACACTATATTAAGATTATTTATTAATCAGAAATGTTAAGTTCTGATTAATAAATAATCTTAATAAACAAAACAATTTAAGAAATAGATCAAGGAAGAAAACTATATGAAAAAAGGATTAAATTAAAATACTTTTTCCATTACACAATGGATTTTTTAGCTCCAACACATGCAATTAATTTTTCAACTAATTCTCTCTACAAATCTAATTGTCTTTTTCTTGTAAATTCATTGTTGAATTTTCCACTGTTTGTTTTCTTATTATTTTCTATATATGTTACTAATATTTCTTTTTTGTTCTTCACTTATTTTTAAAAATAAAACATTGGAAGTTTCCATTTTGCTTCTGCATACTCTATTGCTATAAGTCAAAATTTTAACTGTAACACATGTAAACTAATCATGTTGATTTGTTTACAACTTGTTACAGTTAATTTGATTGGTCGAATCATGAGTCTAACTTCAGACTACCAGTTATGTGAGTCATAGTAAGACGAGTGAGTTCAATGACGTCAATTTGAGTACAACACAAAAAATGCAAGACTAAGGGCCCTGAATGGAGTTAGATGACTAGCATGACTCTGTTGCTAACAGGAAAAGTATGTTATACAGGGGCAAGACACTTCTAAAATTGAGAGCATCATGATGAAAAATTGCAGCCCAGCATTGTGATGATGTCACAACAAATAATAGATCATTATTATATTTTTGTTACTTCAGAAAATTGTATAGGGGTATTTTTAAACAAAAAGTAGTGTTCAATATAGATATATTTTATTACACATACATACAATATTATTACAATGGGTTATCACACACATCGTTTTGTTGTAATAATCCCTGTGATAACTCTTTCACTGTAATAATATTCTATGTATGTGTAATAAAGTATATCTGTATTAAATATCTTAAAAAAGGGATTAAAGGCTTATTGTTAATTAAAAGTAATATTGCAAAAATTATTGTAATATTTACTCAAGATGAAGTCGTTTAATGTAGGATATGAGTCTTAAGAATATTAAGAATATTAAATTCTTTCTGAACATAAATATAATGTGAATTGACTCTACTAGCATTTATTCTTAAGTGTTATATGAAATTATAAATTGTAACTAGTATCATAACTCATAAATTTGAGTAGATTTCTGAAATTATAGTGTTTCACATCTATCAGGTGAACAAATAAAAAGTGGACTTGAGAGAGGTAATGTAAGATGTTTGGTAAAGCTGTGACTGTATTCTTATTATTGTTGCTTAAATTAAGTGTGATAACTGGACATAGTGTACATTGCAGAACAAAATTTTTCTAATTGAATGATACAGAAAGATACCAAAGACAGAAAGTTACCAAAAATCATATTTACATACTAGAAAGGAATTGATCAAATAATATATTAACATACTTTATGAAGTAACTGTTCAGAGTGAAATCAATTAAAAATTTTAGAATATTTTTCAAAACTGATGGAAATGAGTTTTCTGTTAAGAATACTGTATTCAGTGAGATATTTGAAAAGTAATATGTAAAAGTTATAAACTGATTTAAAATTAAAAAGATCTGAATTTTAAGTAAATTTATTTCTCAAATTTTGAAAATAATTTCAAAAATTTTTAGTTTTTTCAAAAGGATTTTGTAAAATTAAGAAAGAAGAAATGAATAGTATTTTATTCAGTATGAGTGCAGTTAAAAATTCTAATGAGTTTGACATTGGACTAATTGGCAAATCATATTCTTATCAAATTGAATATTTAATGGGTTCTGGCTAATTAAGGGTAAAAATATTTAAAATCATCCTTGCCTTTAGAAGTATATTTTTATGAACTTATTAATAAGTGGTAATTTATGTGATCTATGTATAACAAAAAAGGAGTTGTCATAAACAAAGTTATCTAAGAAAAGAAATATTTAGGCATCTTTAGAAGAGAATCCAATACAAATTTAAAATGTTTATACGAAGAAATTATGTTATCTTATTTCGAAATTTGAACTGAGATAAGCCAATTTTGATCTTATACTATAAATGGTTGTCTATGAATCTTATTTGTTTGTTTGTTTAGAGTTTTAAATATTCCTTGAATCCATAGTAAATAAATGTTCAAGATTTAAGCATTACTCACAATGCATAGTAGATAATGACAAGCACAGCATTGCCAAACTTCCTCATACTATTTCTCTTTTTGTTTGATCATTCTATAAATATAATATATATTTGATTGATTTTATATATAAATATTAAACTTATTATTCTTTTAAATTTAAAGATTTATAAACTGATAGAACTTTTATTTTAGTTAAAGCCAAGTGGACATCTTTGTAGAGAAGCAATTGATGAATGTGATATTCCAGAATACTGTGATGGAAAAGATGGACAGGTAATTTAAATTAAATTTATCAATTATTTATTTCAGGTTTAACAGTAATTTTCACTGTTTTTTTTTATTTATTCATGTTATTGAATTAACCAAATATGAATTCACAATATAAATATATGTTAAAATATGAACTTGATTTAATACTGCATTAAATTGTATTGAAATAAGAATAAAATCAATTTGTTCTTATTTTATTATTATTATTTATTATTGAAGATAAAAGTAAGTAAATATCAGTAATTTTCAAATTTAGATCAATAAATTATGCAACACTGCTTTGTATGGATACCAAAAACATATGATTTTTTGTATCCATACAAAGGAGTCTTGCATAATTTATCTATCAGAAATTTAATTGAAGAAAACTATTTAAAATATTATTAAAAGTAATTTGTATATATTTCAATAGACAACTAAAATTTGTACAGTGGAGAAAAGCTAAATCAATTCAATGTGATATTTTAATTATTAAATGTAAATTAGAAGATACAATAAAAAAAAGTTATATTTGAAATCAATGTTTTTTAATAACTAAAAATTGATAAATTATACATAATTACAATCAATAAAGATTTCTTGCCCAGTGCCACTATTTAAATATAATGAAATTTAACGTTTTCATTTGCATATTATTATACAATAACAGTTTTGTTTATTAAAAATAGATAAATAGATAAAAATATTATAAAATAAATTAACATAATTTTTAAAATACAAAATGATGATTAGAAAGTTCCAGGAATGAGCATGTAAAATAAAAATATTAAAAATATGTTTTTGTAATTTACATATGATAATTTTAATGCGTTTTCATGATAGTAATTGTGGAACTAGCTCTCATACAACATTGCAATAGTTCTTATTTTTATTTATAAAATAGCAAAACTTCTAAGACAGATTTTTAAAATATGTCTTCGAACTTTTTTGAGGTTTAGAAGGAACAGAAAATATGCATTAAAATGAATTGTACAACTGCAGAAATGTTCAACATGATAAAATAAGCTTTTGAAGAGATGTTATGAATGGTATAAACAATTTGAAACTTCGATTGTTGGTTATAGCAACTTCTTTATGTAGTAGATGACCCAAATCCACAAGAAATGACAAAAACATTGAAAACGGTTGATCAATTGCTAGTGCAAATTGTAGTGCAACCATTTGAGAAATTGCACAATAGCTGGAGATATTTGTAGGGACATGTCATACTATCATAATGTAAGATCTTAAGCTGAGACATACACTTTGCTGATGTATATCTCAGCTTACATCTGACAGACTGCAGAAACAATGATAAAACAAACTACAGTTTTCTGCAACACCCTATTCCCATGATTCTAATGACTTTTTTTCTTTACCAAAGTAGCAAAAAACTTTAAAAGGAAAACTAATAGAAAATGAATAGAAGAAAATTTTGTGATTCTTGGAAAAAAAACTGAATTTTCTAAGGGTTTCCTGAATTTGAGAAATCATTAGAGAAAATGTATCGAAGCTCATGGTGATTATTTTAAAAAATAGGATATGAAAATAAATTTATTTAATAACATGTTTTGAATTTTTTATGATTCCTGGAACATTTTGAACTCATCTTATATTTATATATTTTTTAAAATATTATTATTCTTAAGGGAATTTTGTACAATTTCTTGTTACTTTATTTATTGATTTACAACATGGCCCTTAAAATGGTCTTAATAGTTCAAAAAGATTCTTAAACCTTTTAAATTTTTAAATATTTTTTATTAAATTTAGTGCCCAACTGATCTATATAAAAGAAATGGTGATCCATGTAAAAATGGTGTAGGATTTTGCTTCTATGGTCGTTGCCCAACAGCTGATGAGAGATGTGAATATATTTGGGGATATGGTAAGTAGAATTTTAATCATTAAAATATAATGAAAATTAAAAATTAATGAAATAGATGTAATTAAAACTTTCATTCATTAAATTTTTCTTTATTAATGGTTTGTGTTTATTTTTTATTTAAAATAATGTATATGAATATTATATAAATTTCCAAAATTATTATACAACTAGTAGATGAGTTTGGCATTGCTCAGGCAAGTAAGTTAATTCTCATTATAATGGAGAATTAACTTACTTGATGATAACCTTATTTGAATAAAATGATTAATTTTAAATTCTAAAATCTAAAAAAGTTGTTTCGGACATTATATTTCGAATTTTTCAAATTTGGAACAAATTCAAATATTCCTTCGAATTCGTTTAATTTGAATTTATTGTTTTTGGATTATATGAAGACTGGAAATGATTAAAATATTTATTAATTTCCAAAATGTATACTATACAGGGTGTATCAGTATAGCATATCAGTATACAAACTTTCAGGAGAGATAGAGTACACTTAGATGATGGAAATTGCAGTAATGGCAACACAGAACACAAGAAAGGAAGGACACGAACAGGGTGAGAAAACATGTTTATTATTCTTAGTACAGCAAAAATCAAAGAAGGTGTTCGAAATTACGACCCCAGGCCGTGATGCAGGCCTCACATCTCCAGTGCATTGAAGACCTGACATTGTTGAAAATACCGGGCGTGTCTTTGACTTCCCCAGCAGCTGCCACGATGCGGGCAACAAGTTCCTCCACACTGTTAACAAGAGTTTAGTACACCATGCATTGCTATGTGATTTCCCTTTGTCTAGGTGTACTCTGTCTCTCCTGAAAGTTTGTAACCGCTGTATTGATACACTCTGTCTGTGCCACTATTTACTTTACTTCTTTATTATTTACACTTTATACTGACTAAAACTAACTTTCTCTTCTTTTTCCTTCGGAAAGTTGAATTTCCAAAAATATTCAATTTTACAAGGTCTCTGACGGCTTTTCTTTTCCACTAGACTTATTACACTATCAATTAGAAACAGGACAATATTTAGAAAATCATACATTTATTTCCTAGAGTATGCATTTCGGACTTCAAGTCCCTTTTCAACTCTTTGTGATGTAAATGGTTAAGAGAAGCATAGAAATGGTGACAATTGATAACATACAGATAATAATTATTAATTTACAGGTGTTTGAGTAGATATGACAGTACAATACATAAAGTAAAAAACAAGTGCACTGTTAAAACAATAAGATTATAAACATATTTACAGTAAAATTGTAACACGATGAGACGATTCACAGAAAAATCTCTTACCCTACTAAAACACAGTCAAAATGCAAAAAACCACATCTAAAATAGTACAACAGAAGCTGAGTTCTTCGAGGTAATCCTTAACCCTCTACCTCTTCCCCATGGGGGATTTTCAAAAATTTTTTTATTAGGGTGCATTCTTGTAGTGTACCCTACTAAGACGCAGTTAAAAATAAAAAGTCGCATCTGAAATAGTCCAGTAGAAGCTGAGCTTTTCAGGATAAGCCTTAATCCTTTTCCTCTCCCCTGTGGGGAAGAATTTTGAAAAATCCCTTTTTAGTGTACATTCTCATGACATACCCTGACGTATATCAGATTTCAACTTTCAACTCCTAACCGTTTGGGCTCTGCTTATCATCATCATCATCATCATCAACCCATCTCAATTATATTATAAGATATAATCCACTTACTGCTTACTGTTATCAGTTATTCTAATGTTATCAGAATTAGCACATAGAAAACATATAAATTAAAATACATTTATAAAACTTTGCTTCTTGCAATTGCAATTGAGTTCTAGTTCTAGTTATCATTATGAGATAAATAGGTATTTTTAATTTAATTTTTTATATGAATAATAAGTGAGTGGAATGAGTAAATGCTCTATTTGTCAAGGCTCTGAAGGCAGCTAATTTCTGACTAATTATAATGGTTAGACTTCTAGATGAAGGATTCAATAAAGTGGGTCTTTTACAAATTTTTTTGTGGCAACCATCATTTTTGTATACTATCATATCTAAAAAGTTGATGTTAGTATAACTGCTTTTTGTTAAAGCAAGTATGACTCTTGCAGAGTTAGTATTCACAGCTATTATAATGTCCTTTACTTTCTAAATTATTAGCATGTCATCAAGATATTGCAGAAGAATTTCTTATATTGGATGAATATTAAATATTATTTTGATAAAGTTCTTATTATAAAGGAAGTTATATTGATTTTGTTTTAATTTTTACTTTAAATATATATTCAAAATACAAAATAGAAAAGTATATGTCAAAAATATTGTAATTCATATCTTGTTTTAATCTAATGAATGTACAGTTGCTCTCCTACTTACAAGCAGGCTAGGTTCCCATGGTTTTATCATAAGTCAAAAACTATCCTAGAAAGTGCATTTGTACACAGAATAACCATGCACCACATTTATCCATTTGCTGCTGCTTGCTAGCAGATTTTTTTAAATGTGGTTTTTTTTTACCTAATGCACTTAATTTTATAATGTCAAGTTTAGTTTTCATGGAAATAGAACAACATTGCTGGCATTCATATCCACTGCTAGATTTACTATTACATTTTGGAGACATTTTTGAAACACTAATCATAAAAGTTTATAAAAATTGCAATCAGTGAAAATGTTGTTACTTTAACGTTACCAACTTCAACGCCACCTCACAGTGGTGGAACTTCAGAATTCACACAAAAATGAAAAATGTTGATATGCAATAGAAATAAGTCCACATTAATTATTTATTATTGACCAAAGACAGACTTTGATGCCACTCCACGAGTGGCAAGAGAACTTCGGAATCTCTTGAATGAAGTTTAAATTTTAGACATACAGTCAAAGTGTTCATAAGTAGGGGAACTCCTGTATTATAACAGTCAGAAATATTAAACTTTATACTTGTAGTTTATGTTTAAATTTCTCTGAATGTTCAAACTGTAAATATTTCATTTAAATGTTTATAAATTGAGTAGTAAACTAAAATTTAAATATTCCATTTTATAATAATTAAATATATTTTATTACCATCATTATTTTTGTTGTATAAGTAAATAAAAAAAGTAAATTCTTTGAAATGATTTTTAGGTGCAGTTTCTTCAGAATTGCAATGTTATGAACAGTTTAATACTCAAGGCAGCCTCAATGGTCATTGTGGGACTGATAGCAAGGGTGAATACATTAAATGCAGTAAGGAGTGAGTATTATTTTACTAATTATAGGTAGTAGCTTGAAAATGTGAGCCTTATGAAAGAATTTTATAATTTGATTGTGCATTGAAGTACTTTTTAAAAATAAGAACAGTTTTAAAAAGTTTTAGTGTAATTATTTTTACATTTTATTAAATACATAAACAATTCTTAATAAATTATAGTAGAATTTGCTTATTGTAATAATTGATATTGTGTTAGTCATTTAATATTATAAAATTAGCATGTCTAAATAATTTTCCCATAATTAGTTAAAATACACTTACAAAACATCAATTACTGTTAAAGTTCCATATGATATCCATAAGGAAGGCCTGTCTTTTATTTTGACTTTAAAAAATTGTCTGTCTTTTATATTTTACAAAAATCTAAGAATTAACATCAAAGTTAAGTAACTGAAAAACATGGTAATCAACATTTTTTGGAGTAGTGGAGTAATATATTGATTGATTTCTTTAAAATTTTTTACTTCAATCACATTTAAATACACTATGTAGTGTCTTGTACATACATACATACATACATAGTGTAACCTGAAAGCTGTAATGATAGTCAGCAGACTATCATTACAGCTTTCAGGTTAGACACTTTTATTGTTTCCACATATGCATTTCGGACTTATATAAATGCTAAGTTTCTCTTCAGTGCAATACTACAAATTATTAAAAAAACCACAATTAGTAACATGACAAAATTCTTCGCAAGTAGATCATATTTACTGACATAAAACTATCATACTTAAAAATTGTCACACTTATACAATACCTATGGTTCTGTCTTCTCAAACCACAGTGTATAACGGGTAACATTGGAAAGATTTTTTAATACAGCCATTAAAAACACCACAAATACATTTTCCAAACATTAATATGTAAAACTTATTATATTATTAATTTTATAATTTTTTACTTTATAACATCACATATTCTAATAAAATAACAATATAATACGATACATACTCACTTTTATATTTTTCAACATGTGCTCATAAAATCTTATATAAGTACAACTTTTAAAGAATGTGTGTTTTCTACAATATAATGTTGCAGTAACTGTAATTATAATCATTTTACAGGTTAATTATATGTAGCATAGTAATATTAATTTCGGATTAGAGAGACATACATACATAGATCATAATAACAGCTACCAAAAGTGATATTTTAAATACACTCTTTATGTCTTCTTTTGTCATAACAATTTATTCTTCATCCATAATTTTTTATCTGGTAAGCCTGCTTATTATAGTAAGGGCTTAAATGAAGATTTTTTTGTGCTATTAACCTCTTCTGCTGATAACATATTACCATTACCAATTAATTATTAGTCTTTAAATCTATTATAAGTATTATAAGATGCTTTTTGTTATCATAAGTATATATATGCAAGTCCTCACATCCATTCTGTTTAGATATAGACAGATACCTGAATGTAGTCAGTCATATGCTTTGAAACATTGCAGTTCATCCAATAACAGAAGCTGATTCATTTGATTTGTGGCTGATAAAAATATTTGTTTTTACTTTTATTAAATTGAATTGGTATGTTTATGAGGGGGTATGACATCAATAAGGAAGATGTGTTTTTTTTAAAACTATGAATAGTTATTATTTCATGTATTTTTGAAGGAGCTGTCACTGGATAAATATATGTTGATAATAGTCTGCTCATTGATATTGACAATTTGAAGTCACAAAGAATAATACTATTGTGAATAGTTTAAACTAGTGATTCAGACTTTTAATGTACTTTCCTTAAGATAAATGTAAACATTCCATACTCTTTAATTTATATCAGGTGATCCCAAAAAACTTACTTCTTTGTCCTATACCTATTTAGTAAGAACTGTGTGAAGCAGGTTGGGTTCTTGTATAATTGTGTGCTTATAATATTTGGAATATAATGCTGAAGAAATTAGGTGTATTATGATATAATAATGCAAAGCTATCTTATGAAATGTTTTAAAATGCATTATATTTTTCAATTTATTATTTAATTTATTAAATTAAAAGCACTTTCTTTAATTTCAGAGAACTTTAACTTCATTTTATTTCTTTATTCCTTGATATGATTCAATTTTATGTCATCTAATATAACGCTTTAAGAGAATACAAAGATAAACTTTAGTAATTCTGGAAAAGGACATGCTAAGTAACAATTAATAATCCTTATTAAGCAAAAGTTATATTTTTAAAATTGTTAATCATCATTATATCAAAAATGATGATGAATTATCATCAAATTATCAAGAAATTATAATACTTTTCTATTGGTATTAAATGTTCTTTATGCAAGTAAACTGTGAGTTTAATACACATTTCTGTTGATTTGTATTACAGTAGTGTGTTGATTATCCAAAATAATTGCGGCATACAATTTCATATACAGTATTTGATTTTTTTAGATAACTTTGGTAGGGAAAGAATGAAAAGGTAATTTTACTTTATTTAAGGTATTTATTTTAACTACATATCTAAGATAGCAAGCCAGATAGCTATTGTGAGCGGAGAGGAGAAAACTTTAGATTTAATATAGTTGACATCTTAATTGCCTGAGAAGATTCTTTTGAAGAATTACTAGTCTTCAAAAGTAAAACTATTAATTTTAATTTTAGTACAATAGTAAAAAAGGTTAAGGTGTAAGAAATAGCAAAAAAAGTTGTCTAATTTATTAAAACTAGGCAATAGTCTTTCGTTGAAGTCTACAATGCACTGATAAAACTTTGAATTCAAAGCAAAAACAAATAATAGTAAAATTAATACTAAACAAAGTACAGTCGACTCCCCTATAACACTGTTGATTATTCCGTTTTATATGAATTCCTGTTGTACGAGTCACTTAGATTTTACAAATACGTGAGCCGTTCACAGCCCGGCACACGTATTTGTAAAATCTAAGTGACTCGTACAACATGGAATTCATATAAAACGGAATAATCAACAGTGTTATAGGGGGGTAGACTGTACAGTACTCACATGAAAATTATTTATTACACTTCTCTTTTTTAAGAAATCACTTATTTACATAAGTTTTTTCTTTTTAACTCCACTAAATCCTTGGCTAGAAGATCAAGCAAAGTCATTATGCGAGTTTAAAAATTGATTCAGCTTGCATTTGTAATCTACTGAATACTGTTCATAATGTATCAAACATTATGATAAATTATAAACAGCAGCAGTCACTGCATTAGAAACATGTGACTCATTAGTCATGCTTTTCTACTTGTACTGTAAAAAATAAATTTAACACTATTGTTGATAATGAGATAACTCAATCACACTCCATAGTCCTTACTGTAATTCTGATTTTCTTTGAATAATTCTTGTAAAAGGTCAAATGTACTAGAAGGCTTTGATAAATTACATCTGTATGAATTAAGCCTGTATCTGATAATGAACTGGCTGGCTCAAAAAATAAAGAAATAAAGATAAACAAATACGCGACATTTAGTACAAAGAAATAAAAATGAGATACCTATGTATGATAATGCTTTGTTTTGATAGCTCAATACTGGACCTAGAAGATTGCCAACAATCATTATTACAGAAAACTTTGTTAGTTCTGGAATTAGTATTCTCTGAAGTTAATTTTGGATAGCTGATTTTCACATTACTGTATTTATTTATTTATATTTACCATCTACTTATTTCATTACTTTATGTAGTTATTACTGTTTGAAAGAGAAATTAGAGAAAAATAATTTTCTAATTTCACTTCTTTATTAATAATTAAATTTCTTTACTGCAGTGGCAATAAGAATGAACTTTAGAATTCAGAACTTAAATCCTTAATCTTGTATATATAAATTATAATCCATATTATTTGTTCATTTTTATGAAATTATTTACAAACCTAGTAAAAACAAACATATATTTATATAGTAATTAATATAACAAATTGTCTAGAAATATTCTATGTGGAGCAGTCCAGTGCCAACAAGGAGGACGGACACCTATGGTTCAAGGAATGAGTAAACAATATGCACGCACAATTGTATCTATTGGTGGTTCTGAATACGAGTGCAAGTGAGTCAAGATGGTTTTTTGAAGTAGTTTCAATTAAATTTTGTTTCAGTTGTTTAAGTGCTATTATTAATTTTCTAGAGTTGCTAGTGGAAGTCTTGAATCAGATATTACTGATTTAGGGATGATGCCTGATGGTTCTAAATGTGCTGAAAATAAGGTAAAATATTTTTATATACAGTTTATTTTATTTGCATTTATTAATTTATTACTTTAATTATGAACTGATCTTGATTTAATGAATGATTTAGATAAAAATATTGTATACTCATTGCAAAACATCTTTGAATATATTCAGTTTCTACAAAGTTAGATTAATAAAAAAATCTTTCAATATCAAATAAACATGCAGACTGAAAAATATGTGAAGATTTTCATATAAAATTCTGAAATGTTTAAATACACACTAAGGAACTGACTTATTTATTGACTTTTACTTTCCTAGTTGTTATGTATGCATAACAAAAGAAAATATTGCAATCATGTCAGATTTGACCATCCAAGTTTTTTGCAAATATCCACATTTTGAGACCTTCTGAACCCAAAAAAGTAAAAAAAAAAATTCTGCATTTCACACATGTTGGTGTCTGTTTCATTTAATATCTCAGGATGGAGGTAAAGGTTAAGAAACAAAATTTGGTATTGTAGCTTATTATACACAAGTTACAATGCCAAATTTTGCCAACATTACCACAAAAATTACCACTTAATATTTGATATAGATTGTGAAAAAAGTTATATAATTTATACGTAATAATTATTATTAGTATTTAACCAATATCTGATATAAAGTTTGAAATATAATAATTATTATTTTTAACAGATATGTATAAATCAAACTTGTTTGAAGTTAGAATTTTTTGTAGAACCAGGATCTTGCCTTACAAATAATATAGCTCTGTCATGTTCTGGACATGGGGTATTATTATTATTATTATTTTTTTAATTAAAAATAAAATATTACAGCAATAAACTCTAATTCATATAAAACAAACATTAATTTAAATCTTTTAATGGAAAAACTTATCGCTTTGACCTAGGTATGCTCAAACATAAACACTTGTTTTTGTGACGATGGCTGGACTTCACCAGATTGCAGTCAGCGAATAAATGGAAATGAAGATATCGGTTTGGGTCGCACCGATATACCATCTCCAGGTGGGGATAGACCTCGTGTATTTGGTGTAACGACTCAAGGATCTATTTCGGATACGGGACAAGGATTAAAAAAGACGTCTAAATCCACAACATACGGTAATTAAAAACAATATATATTATTATAATATTTTCATTATAGTCGTTATACATAAAACAAGTAATTATAAATAAGTTTATAATTTTTAAAGGAAAGAAAGATGCTCTTAGTGCTCCATCTCTAGTTGTAGTATTGGTGTCAGTAGTTGGTGGTGTATTCATTTTTTTCGCTCTGTTGGCAACTTGTTACAGGTATATACATTACATAAATATATTCAATTTAAATTAACAAAATCTTAAAAAATAATCTTAATTTTAATTAAATTTGTTTTGTTTCTATTAAAATAACTAATGGATTTTCATTAATTACCGAAATGTTTCAAAAATTTCCTTATGTAAAAGAAGAAGCACCCTTCCTAAACAAGAACCACCTCACATAAAAAAACATGTTGTTAGAAAACACACACTGCCAGTAACAGTTACTGCAAAAAGTGAAGATGAATCATCTCAGGAAAATGTCAATAGAATAATAACTTTTGGCAGTATGCCATCTTATAGGTAAATTGCTAATGTGTTAATTTATTCAAATTTAAAATATTCAAACACCACTATTTTATACCTGTTATTAAAGCATTTACAGAAAAAATAATTTTGTTACTATAATTAGTAATTTGATTTTTATGTTTGTGCTTGTTGATTTAGGGAAGATAAGCTTCAACAATTGAAAAGGCAACAGTTACAGCTGAAAGATACTTCACTTTCGGAAGAAGGAGAAAGTCATGGTCTTATTGCCGAGACGTCTGCATTTATTGAACTATCCCCTAATAATCTTTCTAAAGTGCCAGAAAAGGGTATCTTAAAACATCCACCCCGGTCTGATAAAGAAAAATGGAGTGACGAAGCATCTCAATCCGATAATCAAGATTCTGTGAGCCAATCTGATAACAACTTGGATCGAAACAGTGATACTCTAACAGAAGTTGAACGTACTTTGAAGAGTCTTAATGGTTATCATGAAGAAATATTAGAAGCACTTCATACGGCATCTTCACATCGACCTCCATATACAAAACTAAGTCCCAAAGAAGATTCTAAGAAATTTCCTGATGGGACGTCAGATTATGGTGGAATTGGTATATTAAAAAGCTCTACTGAACATTTAGGTTCAGGAGGTGATGAACCGGAAGAAACTGTTCCACCATGTGGTCCAATTAGGATAAGGAATCTAGAAGATCTTTTGAGACAGTTAGAACATACACCTGGACCTCATATTTCCCCTGCCGGTTCAGATGATGTTCGACTTAGTGAAACAGAAGCCGATCGTCAATATAGATCAGACAATGCCAGTGGAACAGAAAGTCAGGTGGATCCAAGTCTTCAATTTCTGCTTGGTCGTCAAAAAGCCAGTCTTGGAATTACCGGAGATATATCTGCAGGCCACCTACAATCAGCTTCCGGTCATTTACTCAGGCGACTTCCACTTGAGGTTGAAGAGGAAGAGGATGAAGATGACGACGAAGGAAGCTTAGACGACGAGGGAGATGACACATATTCAATTCCTCATTTTATCCGTAGTGCCAGTGAAGAAGCCCTTCCAGTTTATGGCTATAAGCGTAACCTCAATACACAACAGTGTCCAGAAAAAACGTTGAAAAGAGACACATGTGAATATTTTCCCAGTCCCCCTTCGGACGAATCTTATCCATCATATGGAGAAAATAATTGCTTCCCTTCTCTTACAACTGCTGCCAGTGGTTCGCGGGGTGACAAAGGAATCACAATTCAAACACATGGGCTCTCACCTGCTACCTCTTCCTCATCTGGATCTCAACCAATGTCTGGGGCCAAAAGAAAAATGAGGAAAAAATTTCCAGAGTATAAAGTAAGCTATTATTTTTGATTATTTAGTTTTATTTTACAACTTTCTTTCAACAATGAAAGTAAATTTTTAGTTTTGGCAGTGCTCTAAATTTTGTACTTTATTGAATAAAAGAGAGACACCTGATTCATTGAGAACTTGACTAAATTATAATGTAATGAATTAAATAATTTAACTGTAACATATTTATTGGAAATACTATATTATGTTTAATTTTAAAGTATTATTAGTATTTTGAATTACTGTTACTATTTTTTTTAATAATTTTTATAATGAGAAACTTTACAATGAAACATTAGAAAAACTATCATATTGATATATCAATATGATGGTTTAATAACAGATAATGTACTTACAGATAATACTGTATTTCCCTGAAAATAAGACCTAACTGGAAAATAATCCTAGTATGATTTTTCAGGATGCTCATAATAAGCCACAGTTAAAGTTGTCAGCCAGATGGTCATATTTAATACATTCGTTGAAACCCATGACAACGTATTGAATTATAAAATAATAATAATAATATATATAATTAAACATAAATAAATATTATTATTGACATTAATACTTAATTATAATTTATATTATCATTTATTTTAAGTATTTTTAAATACTCAAGTGAGCATCTTTGGACAAAACATCCCCTGAAAATTAGACCTAATGTGTCTTTTGAAGCAAAAATTAACATAAGCCCAGTGTTATTTTTGGGGGAACACAATGTAATAATCAGTATATTAATTAATACTTCCTGCATCATTAACTAATGTATTACATCAGTAGTGCTTTATGAGGTTCTTTAAACATCATTAGTGGTCTACAGGATGTATTATACTGTACATCCCATTTATATCAATGGATAAACTTGTTTTGCTATTAATTCATATATATTTTTTATTCATGTATACATTCTAGGTAAAACACAATCATTTGAACTGTCAAAAAAATGAAAGTTCTGTTTAAAATAAAGATGCAAAAACGTTTGTCTTAAAAAGATATTAAAACTGTTAAAAAGAACAGAGTTAAATAGCATCATAATAAATTTATAGTTATATCTATTTTTCTAATCAAGATTAATTAGATAACAATCAGATTATCTTTCTTGTAGATCAAGATCATTGGAAATACAACATAGTCTCTACATCATATATCATATATATCAAGGGTGGCCAACTTTTGTGTAGATAAGATCTACTTTTTATGTTAAAAATGTGTCAGGATCGACTTGTTTTAGTAGGCATAGTCTAAGTGGCGAGGGAGAGGTATGAAATACATACTATGTTTAGATAGTTAAGAAAAGCACAATTTAATTTAAAACATGAAGAAAAGGTTTTCAACAGAAGAAAAATTGAAACTCAACGTTGTCATTTTCGAGGACCACCACTTCAAAACCAGGAATCACACCTCTTTTCTGAAGTTGGTATTCATTCTCAGTATGAGTCTCTTGAATTACAACTATGTCAATTTCGTTATCCTTAAGGATTCTATGTAAGTATTGGCATTTTGATCGACTAATGCCTTCAATATTAATTTGACATATCTTAAGTTGAGGACCAAGATCTTTGGTACTATGACCCTTAGAAGGGTCTTTGTAATGAGAAGACATAAGTAGTTTAAATAGTTAAAGAAAAAGATGTGTATTGTCCAGGAGATCCTATGGATTATTTGGACGCCAAAAGAGTCATCAATATCCATCAGGATATTGATGACTCTTTTGAGTTCATCAATATCCTGTTGAGTTCATCAATATCCTGTTGAGTTCATCAATATCGCGTTGAGGTCATCAATATCCATCAGGATATTGATGACCTCAACATAAATCGACTTAAATCAAGACACCCTCCTCTTATAAGAGCTAAATCCCTGCATTCCAATAATTTCAACCTCACTGAATCTTGGAAAAGGCTCTGGGCTGATGTCTCTCCGGTGGACAGTCGACAACTTCCTTGTATCACAAAGCGACCACCTGGATTTGAGTTATCCAGAAATCTTTGGAGTGTGTTAAATAGGATTCGGACCAAACATGGGTTGTGCAGGGACAGTCTTTTTAGGTGGGGAAAAGTTGCATCCCCACAGTGTGACTGTGGTGCTGAAAGACAGACTATACATCATATCTTGGAAGATTGTCCAGTAAGATCTTTTTCGGGACAACTGAGTGACTTCTTGATTATGACTGAAAGTGCTTTAAACTATATTTCTAACTTAGATTTACATTTATGATTTGTGTTCTTACTTTTTCTGCTTTCTGTTCTTGTTAACAATTAGATGTGTAGCCATACGCTAAATAAACCACCACTTCACCCTTCCTTTCTCTACCGTGTCCCGACCTACTCTCTCTGTCCCTCTTTCTGCCTTTCTTTTTTTCGGTTTTACGACCTTTAGTCTACATTTCTTATTCCTCCTTTACAATTGTACGCAAATGGATTGCTCATGGACCGACAAAACCGTATCTGAGGGAGGACGCGGAGGTCCGATATCACTACAGTTGCGTTTGCGTGTTACGTTCACGCACTGCGTTCAGTTACAAGTGTAACACATTAAGTGAAGACATCGCGAGCGATCGACCAAAATTGGCTTCGTGATCGACTGGTCGATCGCGATCAACTTGTTGGCCACCCTTGATATATATCATATCAGACTGACGGGTGTTGAATTATAGCAGGTTGTAGGATTATTTGATATGTATGTATGTACAGTACAGTACAGTAAAAAAAACAGTTAGTTCACAAGTTAGGTTTTTATATTAATGAACATGCAACAAACAAGTAGTAACTGACAGTATACATATACTGTAAATCAATCTCTCTCTGTCATATACATTGACAAGTGATAACATGAAAATTTTATATGCATTGGAGAGTGTTGGATTACTGGACATGACAGACTATAGATAATCTACTGTATTCATAATGAATTACATTATTTAAAATTTAGATTGGTGTTTGGATATCCTGAGATATAAATATCAACACATTTGAATTATAACATTTAAAAAAAAAAGTTTTTTGAATAAACTTTTAAAATACATGCATCACCTTCAAGTTATATTTTCACAAATGAATAAAACTTCCTCTTTATTGGTGTTTTAATGAATAAGCATATACTGTTTAATCTAGTGCTTTTGAGTTTCAAAACTTATCTTTGAAATCTATTTGAATTTTGTTGTGGTGACAAATTCAAATACATATGTTCAAATTATTGAAACTTATGAAGAATAGAATTAGCTTATAGCAAAACCAAGTCCTAACATTTCAATTTTTTTATTAAATTTTAATAGCAGCACTTGTTAGTAGTTTTACTGCCTCAAAACGAAAACTATCTTAAAATCATTTTGAAATATTTTTTTATACAGTAAAGCATTTGAATTTAATCTACACATCTGTGTATGGCACACATCATTATAATGCATGTTTCTGTTGTTCTGTTTCATCATAAAATAGTAATAAAAATTATTGGGTTGTTCGGAAAGTAATTTCGTTTTTTTCCACGGAAAAAAAAACAATATTTTTATAATAAATAAATATTTTATTAAATTATATATCAACCATTTTGGTCAAATACCTGTTGTCATCGTTTCTGATAGTAGCATGATTTCACATTCATAAAAGTTTTGATTGTTGCTTACAAAAAACTGATCCAAGTGATTTTTGACATTGTCATTTCAAGTAAATGTCTTACAGTTAAAAAAAATTTGTATAGACCGGAACAAGTAATAATCTGAGTGTGCTCGATCTGGCAAATATGGTTGGTTTGATAGCATGTCCCATCTAAGTTATAACAGTTTCTGATGCGTTAACAAACTTGTGTGAAATTTGACATTAGCATGGTAAAACACTACACCTTGTTTTGTTGATCAATTCTGGTCGCCTTTTCTGTTTGATGATATTACTCAATGGCAGTACACTTTTGAATCAATTGTTAAATTGTCTGGTAAAAGCTCCAAAAAAAAATTTCCTTAAAATCCCACCAAAGAGAGCATCTCTCTTTAAGAACATGTGGAACCCATATATCAAGCTTTGAAAAGAAAACCAATTTGTTTCAAGTAATCATAAACAGTTCAATTTGACAAATTTAATCTCTTAGTGATTTCACGTGTTGTTATTCAGCAGTTTGCTTCAATCAGTACCTTTATTTTGTTTTCATTGGTTTCAACTGGCCATCCAGAACTTGGTGCATCTTCAATATTGAAATTGCCAGAACGAAATTTTGTAAACCAGTTTTGGCACTGTCGTTCTGTCAATACATCTTCTCCGTACACGTCGCACAATTTTTTTCTCACTTGAACAACATTCTTACCTTTTCGATAATAAAATTCGGTAAAAAAGGCCGAAAATGCTGCTTTCGATCTTCCATATTTGATGGGACACAAAAAATAAACATAAAATCTAACAAAATTTTTTACAAATAAGCCTCAAAATGCTAGCTGTCAAAATATATAATGATAATACAATTTAGAATGAAAATGGCGGGAAAAATACAACTAATCTATCTAGTGGTAAAAAAAAATGAAATTACTTTCCGAACAACCCAATAATTTTAAACTTAGCACTTCATATTTATTATGAATAATGATAAATACAGTTTTATTCTTATAGTTTTAAAGCATTAAGTACATTGAATAATTTCCTTCAAGACTTATCTATTAATTTATTTTACTTTTGCAGAGAGATCGCAGTAAGCCACATCATACTTGACATCAATGAAAAATTATCTCGACAGGAAGAATCACATCTAGTCAAAACACTCATCTCCAGTCATTCAGCTCCTAAAAGGAACTAGGGATCACTGCCATTACCATTTGTATAAGATGTGATGACCTGCATTTTACAACTTTGTTTTCATCTAAAAAAAAAAAAAAAAAAAAAATTTGGGATTAGCTACTTCCACTGAATTCCTGCTCATTTTCAACTGCATTTGCTCTCAGTGTGTGCAGCATTTTGAAGCAGAATGCTCACTGTGTCATCATTCTTACAGCCCAAGTGAAAAGTGAGCATTAGTGACAGATATATCTTCTGTACATTTTTTTTTTATCACTTTATAAAATTACAAAGAAATGTACAGCCTTTAACTAAATATTTAAATCAGACTTTTTCTTAAAAAAAGCAAAAAAACAAAAACAAGAGAGGGAGAGCGAGAGAATGATCTTAGTTCAGTTGACACTCACAGAACAAAGAACAAGTTTTACTGTCATCGAGCTTAAACTTTTCTCCTAGTCTTCTTTTAATCATTATTAACTTGTTCTTACCAAAACGAAAATTTTTCCTCTTAGATTTGTTTTTAATTATTGGACCTTTGGAATATCATATGGAATTTTTGAATAAGCTATTTCTGAAACCAGAAGAAATGATGGTGCTACTAATTAATGCTGTTATTGGATAAGAAAGCCAGCTTAAAAATACATAAAGCCAAGTTGCATTGAAAATCTTTTGACAAAAACTGATTAAAATATATTCAGGACTTTATATAATTTCAGCATTGCATCACATAGAGGAGCATTATTAAGTGTTTATAAGATCTTTTTTCCTCCCTCTTTATTTTGTTTACAAAAAAATGGCATGCCCAAAATAGCCATTTGCTAATAATAAATGATATCAGTCCTTTTTAGATAGAATAAACATATACTTTAAACAACTCTGCCTTATGTGCAAACTGACATTTTTTCATCTGTTTGTCATGTAAGATATATTCATTTGATGTGTATCATCATTTCAGAGCTTAAAATGGACACTAAAAAGTGGATACAAGCTTCTCTTTGTGTACTGCCAAATTCCTGGGGATCTGTTACTTCTAAACATTCGAAGATTTGAATCTTAAAAGTTTCTCCGTGATCTTCTGACTTTCTACTTTTCATTTTTTGGTAACACCAATTAATATTTATCTTCTATTTTATTATGAAACTGATGTTTTACTTCCGAAATTTGATTTTTTCCAATCTCTTTCTTACCTGGAAATAATCTAAAAGATTGGGGAAAATATTACTAATTGAGAAAAATTTGCCAAGAGATTGAGAAATTTACAGAAAGAAAAGAGTGAAGAAATTACCCACTCAAATAGAGAAAAGAAAAAAAATTATTGATGTATGTGCAGACTGTGCATCATTCTAAACCGATATCTCTAGTTTTATAACATGATCATGATATTTTTTAACCTGAGTAGAAATTTTTATAAGAAATATTTAATTCTTTCAATCAGAATTCCTTTTACGCAATCAAATTCTTGTTTTGTTTTGCTACAAAATTGAGAAATATTTTATGCTTAGATATACAATTCTTTTTTACTGTAGAGAATGGTTTGAGTACAGATTTATCAAGAGACTTTGTGTAAATTGCAGGATGAAATGTAAAGATTAAGAATAATTTTTTTAGCACACTTTGTTCTGATGTAGCTAATTATTTTTCTCCCAGATTAACAATACTTTATCATATAACAAAGGTGCTTATTTCTGCCTTAAAATATGCATTTATTTTTAAATTTGTTTAAGTCGTCTGACTGTATTAGTATTGCATATATACTTTATAAATATATTTTACAGTTCACATTGAATTGTAAAGTGTGATTCGGTCATGATAAACTGTTATAAAACTTGAGATAAAAACACTATAGACAATACTTATTTATATAAAGACAGGAAACTGTAGTAATTGTTCTCTGTCACATTTTTAATAATTCCTGTTTAGGATAGAAATCTGATGTGTAACGTCAATGGAACAATATCCATACAAGCCCAGATTTAAAAAAAGACGCCAAAAATCTTTCGTGGATCTTTTGGCAATCCAGTAATGGTTGGAAAAACTCCTCCCATTGCATGGGCATGTCAAAATGTGGCAGCTATTTTAATCTTGTGTCATCCTACTGGATACTCCAGTAGACATGCCTCGTAGTTTCAAAAAAAAAAAAAAAAAAAAAGATATGTCATTGTATGAAACAATTTTTAGTTTGTCTCTCCAATGTTTGTCATTTGTATGCCTTTGATGATATAAATAACTGCTCATTATGGAAGAGAAATATACAGGATATCATTGAATTTTAGGAGTACATAATTTACTGTATTTTTTGTTTATATTTTAGCATAATTTGCTTACGCAGATCTACATTTCAATTGTAAGAAATTCTCCATATGGAAAATTAATGAATTCCTGTAATTTCTTTCCTCATTTTGATGTTTAATAGGTACTTTACAAGGAAGATCTGTTTCCATTCCAAATGATATTTTATTACATCATGTGTTTTAGACATTTTATTGGAATGGTTGCAGATGTTAGAAGTGACATTCTGCAAGAAGAGAATTTAGGGTTTAAAGATTTTTCTTCCCTTTTAAATTATTTATACCTTTCCTTATGTGTAAACCAAATTGCATATTATTGGTGACCTTAAAGTGCAGGTAAATTAATGAATAATTTAAGTTTTTTATATACAAATCTAGTCGTATCTTTTAAATCAAAATGTTAACAGTAAAAAAATAAACAGCTTTTTTGAAATTTATTTATATACAATAATTTTAAAATATTAAACAAAAAAAAAAAGAGAGAGTGAACAATTAGAATCTTAGAGAAGCAGGCATACCACATTTACTTCATGCTTCTGCTTTGAACAGAAAAAAAAAATGCTTAAAGCATGTTGTCCACAGTACACATGCCTATCCGAAGGGGCCTCATTTTTCTCTACCCGTGACTTTTTACTGTTTAAAAAAATTGCTCTACGGTGAGCTCTTCCCCCTTTGATAAGTTTAAATAAAAACTTTTAAGAATAAATGATAAGAATGTTGACATTTTAAGATCACTGAATGTGCTTGTCATTTTTAAAGAATGAAATAATAATAATAATAAAATTTACTTTATAATTTATTATTTATTTTTAAAAAACAAAAACAAAACAAAAAAAAAATGCTTAAAAATTTATTAATTTTGGACCTTCCAACAGCAAGAAGATTTATGTTCTTATGTAAACAATATAATTTTCCTCATGATTGGAAAAAAGCCGTCCCCAAAGACTATTGTAGCATGCCAAAATTAATGAGGTAATCAAGTGTATATATACATATTTATAAATTATATTCTTTGCTAATTGATTTATTTGTACCTTTTAATTAATTAATTTTAATTAATTTTATTTGTCTTCCNGTTCGAAGAATCGGGAGATCACGCGTGACCTGTTCGTGATGCAGCTCTGAACACACACATCTTACATTAAATGTTAGCCATTTGCTTTAAGTAACGAACGTGGAAGGATCAAGTGGACATTAAGGAAGTCATAAGTACATTATATCTCGCCTTCTATGCGATATTGATGAAAATATAAAAGTGTGTGTGTACACATGTACGCGTATATAACACATACACACTCGTATAACGTGCTTCTATAAATATATATATATATTAAAAAAAAAGTAAAGGTAGTTTTTATCTAGTTTTGTTGGAAAATTTTAAAATTTGTTTCTTAGTAAAGCCGATAATGCCCTCATGTAATTGGAATGACTATCGGGTTGGGATATAACAATATAAAGAAAAAAAAAAGTTGCATTGCAACCAGACCAATTCGATGCTACTGTATGTATGTCGGTGCGTGTGCATGTGATGTGTTTTGTGTTACCTGCCATTTGTACCCCATTGCCAAAATAAAAACAGATTCTTGCCTTTTAATAATTTGTGTTGTTTTCTTGCAGTCAATCTATTGATAGAAATTAATGATTCGTGCCCACCATATAAGTGGTACAACATGGTTGGTGGTGGGTTCGCGCCTCTCCAACGGGCTAATCGCGTGTTTTTTCATGTGCCTAACACCTAAATAGGGTCCGTTTTCACATAGAAGGTAGATTGCCCATGTCTACTTTCCATTAGTCAAATTAAGAATGATTCATTAAAGAGATAATGTATTATTTATTACTCGACGAAGATAATGCTGAGATTTAAAAATAAAATAGTTTTATTATCCACAACACACATTTTTATACAGAAGATCAGCACATTTTTTTTTTTAAAAAAAAAAAAAAAGATTAAACAGAAAAACTGGCTTGTAGTCCATTATTGTTATGGTTAAAATTCCCAAAAACTCTAGGCAGTCAGCCATGTGTTAGAATTTAGTTTGAGTCAAATCACAAAATACAAACATTTCACCAATCAACGCATGGATTTGTAGAAAGACACTCGCTTTCCCTGGTTCGAATCCTGTTGGCTAGAAACAACATGGCACCTCAGTTTCGTTATCGAGTAGTGCCATTGTCTTATAAATTTAAATTCTCGCTTTGAAAGTAACAACTAAGGTCGCGACGAATATTCTCTACGTGCAGTCCAGTTTCTGGGAGGTGCTCTCCTGTGTGGTAACTCCCAGTCACTGTAATGACGTTCTTGTGTAAGAGGGTGTGCCCACGATGAGGGTCGTAATTGATAGGGTGGATTCGGCTGCTCGTGATAAATTGCAATCCTATCCCGCGATGCTCTTTGCGGTGCAAGTTGGGGGCGAGAATGCCAAACCGTATCGGCTTCTTCGTCGTGTATGTAAGCTGCATTTGCATAATCTCCTCTACTTCTGTAACGGTACGGATGAAGGTAGTGTCGAAACATTTCCACTGCTAGCTGTTGTCTTGGTAAATCTTCGCTAGGAGATTTCCAGCTGCCATCACTGCTTTCCTCACCACTTGTTCCTAAACCCAGGTCTTTATCCTGAGAATCTGCCATGGCTTTGCGTTCTTCCATTTCTGTTGGAGAAGTGTAAGAAGGACGAGGTATACAGACATTTTCAGCTGTGGTTGTTTCCTTCTTACCCTCTTCGCTAGTGGAAATAATGTAAGGAGCCGTGATCTGTTTAGTAGTTTTCTTTACCTTCCTTCTGCAGCATGTGTCCGATAATGATAGTAGCACAGGGAGCAACAAAATTCCATGAAGAGCACCAAATAATATAACTAAGAATACAGTTTTAAAGAAGGTGAGAAATATATAAGAAGGGGCAAAAGCTAAGGCAATGACACCCAATATAGTAGAGATACTTCCCTGAAAAATGGGTAGTCCCAAAGAGTGTAAGGCACTCTTCACTCTCTCATCTGGCGCTGTGTTTTCTGATGAAAAATAAGCGTAAGATATGTGAGCAGAAAAATCAACAGAGAATCCAATACACATTATTAGATTAATCATAGATATTGAATCCAGATTGACTCCCCATAGAGTCATGTATCCAATGACGCCGACTTCTATAGATATAATGGAAAATGCTACCCACACCGCACAATTGACATTAGGTATGAACACCAAAGAAATTACCATCATCACTGCCACAGCCACGCATATTGATTGAATAGAAGTCTCTCTAACGAGTATAAATTGATCAAAATATATGAAATATTGTTGAAAAACCGTTACGGGGAATGGGAAACTATCGGCAATATTACGTAATGCCACCACCATGTCTTTCTCCACATTGGCATTAAGTATATCAACAGCTTGAATGATAAACCTGCTTCCAGTAATTGCTGTCATATCATTATTAAATACCACATCCTGCTCGAAATAATCTGCAGTGGGGAAGCGAAAGAAAACCTCTCTTAGGCATCTAATGAAATCCACATTGTTAGTTAGATTGAAACCCTTCAGGAAAAGAGAAGTCCTCTTGTCGCTGGCAAATTTTAAAAATCCTCTGAGCCACGATTCGGTTAAAGAGCTATCGGCAACGTATGGGCTGGCTTCGAATCTCTGCAGCATGGACTCAATGACACTCTGAGTTTCGGGATTAGAATAATCTAGTGTTGCGTTCACAATGACCTGGATGCGATAGGCATACTTACGAAAATATTTATCTTCAAGATCGTAGAATGTTACGGAGTACGAATCGCTTCTTGAAAGTTTATGCCTTTCTAGACCTTCTCTAACTTGCAAGCATCCCCATATTCCTACTCCAAGATACGCTGCGAAGATGATCACAACTAGGATCTTAACTGGCATTCTACCGAGAAAATCTCCCATAAAATCACGAAAAAACACCATCAAGGCATGTTCTTTGTTGTCTTCTAGATTTGTCGGATCTTCGGAATTTCTTCCACCAGTGCAAAATAGTCGGAAGAGAATGTTTCGATTTTCTGAAAGAGGGAAAAAAATATTTTGAATACGAAAATAATTTAATTTTTTTATTTATCGTGTTACGTCACAGATTCCACTTGTGATATCACAGAACTAAGATATCCTGTTTTAATCCTATCTAACCCGTAATCACCTAACATTGGTGATTTTTTGCGCGAACCCACGATTGGATTTTCATACCATCATGGGTTCGGCCGTGCCCACATTAGGAATAACGGGATATTGAGGAAGGAGGCCCGACATATCCAGGACAGACCGCCTATGAAAAATTCTCGTGGTTTTTCGACCATTCGGATTCGATCCCGGATTCCCCAGAGCGGTAGGTTGACGCCTTTTACCGTTTCGGCCATCCGGTTCACTTTAAATGGGTATAGAAGGAGACCCAACCCATAGTATTCATGAAGAATTATGAGAATGCGGATGGAAATCGAACCGAAACCGCATATAGCGACTGTCTTACTGAATTTTCTCTTCAAATTTGCATCGGATAATTGAGAGGCATAAATATTTTAAGCCTCATAATGCAATTCGTATCTTCTGACATAAAATCGGCAATTTTAATTTATTTTATTTTTTCTGATTGGATTGCCAAAAATAGCAGATTACGATCATTCATTCACAAAATAAATCCGCTTCCTCCTCGACCTACTTTCAATCAAATTCTTGTTCTAAGTTCGATTCTAGTTGCTATTTCTAATTATAGAATGAAACCTGAAGGTATGCGGTTTATATATTTATATATATAAATTCTTTATATTTTACTGATTAATAAAATACTTCAACAGATATTGTATTTCAGTATCTGTGATAAATTCACACTTGGAATCCATTTTAAAACATTTAACTTACTGGCTAACGATTTAGGTACAGCGGGCAGACAGACAAACGAGTGAATATTCTTTTTTTCTCTATATCCACCGAAAGCCAGACATCCTCCAAAAAATGTCAAGTGGAAGGCATACGTAAACAGTACAGCCATTGCTGTATATATACAAAATATTCGTACACTAGGGAAAGGTGTTATGGCTCCGATACAAAAGGATATAAAATTAGTTAAGGAAGTGATAGTGACTGATACTGCTGCTTCTGAATAAGTTTTAGCCATTCTGTCTTCAACGCTGCTTGTTGGGTCAGTCTGTCTCCATGCTGCTAGCAGTAAAAAAGTATCGTCCATGCCGATACCTAAACAAAAAGAAAACAATTAACGTAAAAAGTCATTTAAAATGATTTAAAACAATTAATTTTGTATTGTTCCTATATAATTAAAGGTAAATTCGATATCATAATAGGCAATCACAAATACTTTCGAGTGTCAAAACTAAATACCAGGAATACAATAACATTAATTTCATTCAAATATTTACAATTTTCTAGTGTTTAAAACCTTATATTGTTACTTCTGTAATTAAATTTCGATCTCTATTGTGACATCACAATGAAGTGATTTAAAATCAAATATTTTCTCCCTTTGTCAGTGTTTGCTACGTCACATTACACGCCAATAATTGTTAAGAATACCGTAACGTTAATTTTCACCGTGTGACATCAAACAAGCGATAGTGAATAGATGACGTTTTAAGTCATGTGTGATGTAAGAAGAAGAAAACAAAAAAAAAAAAAAAAAACTTTTACAAAAGGAATTTAAACGTGATAGATAAGGGAATTTTTAAAGGAAAAATCTTTAAGAAAAAGATATTTATCAGTAAGAGACGAAAAATCTTACTTGTTTCTTATTGAAAAATACCTTAAGGGCGTAGACAGTAAAAGAGGACAAGACGTCAAAGAACTTCGATATTGATGAAAATATAAAAGTGTGTGTGTACACATGTACGCGTATATAACACATACACACTCGTATAACGTGCTTCTATAAATATATATATTCGTATATATTATTTGTTAAACTATTTTTAACGTAATAAAAAGTTATCGATTTAATATTAACGCATACTACATTACTGTGTAATAATAAAATAGGTCATACATTATAAAGAATCGTTTGTTACGCTATGAACTTAGTACGTATAATTTTCATTTTAGAGGAAAGTAAATTAAAATTAAGTAAATAATATCCATCTAAACTAGCTGATAATTAAATTTTTTATGTATATATATTATTATTATATTATACAGGGAAAATAATATATATGTGTGTGTGTGAATCAGAATGTTTGAATGTATCATTGACCCCAATGTCTATAGAGCAAAACGGATGGAGTAGGAAAGTGTTAAAGTGTTATCGATAATATCTTAAAATTATCTAATGTTAAATCTTTAAAAAAAAAAATATATATATATATATAAAAGTATAANAGCTTATAGCAAAATTTAAGCGTGTAACGCGTCACATTATCGTCAGACGTCATCCGTGACTCCGAAGTGTAAAATTACGACCGTCGCTTTTGTTAACTGTAAATTACACTTCGCCTATTATGTCATCATTCAGCTCGGTTATCTCGCTCGATTACGTCACACAGAGACTCGCCGCTTAAAACAAAACAATCGCTTTTATAATCATTTTCTTTTAAAACGTAATCAGTGACGTCAAATTTTTTACAGCTAGAAGTTGCGGCCGAAGTTTTCATCCTTAAAACGTGAACGTCGAACGTCGAGCGCCGCTCGACGTTCGACGTTCACGTTTTAAGGATGAAAACTTCGGCCGCAACTTCTAGCTGTAAAAAATTTGACGTCACTGATTACGTTTTAAAAGAAAATGATTATAAAAGCGATTGTTTTGTTTTAAGCGGCGAGTCTCTGTGTGACGTAATCGAGCGAGATAACCGAGCTGAATGATGACATAATAGGCGAAGTGTAATTTACAGTTAACAAAAGCGACGGTCGTAATTTTACACTTCGGAGTCACGGATGACGTCTGACGATAATGTGACGCGTTACACGCTTAAATTTTGCTATAAGCTGGCGTGTTTAATTGGACAATTGCCACTTGGCTCCCTGTTTTTATAATTATAAACATTTGTTCGTTAATTATAAGATTAACGAATAATTTTTCGTCTAATTCGAATACGCGACGTAACGATAAGAGATGCATTGTGATATTTCATCGCGGGCCTGTTATTTTTAATACGTCACAGTAATCTTTTATACGTGACGTCACAAACGAAGAAACTTTACTTCCTAGAATGTCGGAAACTAAATCCGAAAATAACATTATAATGCCACTATTAGTAAGAATTCATGTACAAGCGTAATTTGTGTGCACGCGAAAACACTAGCCCACGATGTCACCTGACCTAGGTTACGAGGTCAAGTCAATTCGCCGAATGAGAAGAGACAAGCAAATAATATCGAAATTAATAAAAGTTTATCGGGGGTATTTATCTATGACGTCGTAGTTACGCTGGTATAATCATGCGGCACTTTATGCTATTTATACGTATAACTTCCGCTTTCGTCTTTAAGTAGTGGACTCGGCGAAATTTTTAAGAGAAGAGATGAACTTTTGACCTCGCCAAACCATACCAAATATTGCCAATAAACACATACGAAAACCTCCCCTATATGCAGCAGAACAGGAAGTCTAGTGTATGCATTTGGTGACAAAAGTAGGCATTTTAAGGGAACTGTCATCGTTTATAAACTTTCTACTTTCCTGTATCCGTTTTGTCCCCGTTTTGGCTCGATAAATTCTTTCTTCTACAACCTTCTGATGATGTTTCCTGGTCTGATATTTATTTTTAAAGATTTTCGATAACCAAATCTTTCAGGTTCGGGGTTTAAGATCCTGCTTTACGCACATTACATCGCGTGTAGTTGCGTGTGTCTGCCCTGTCACGGATAACAGATAAGGTTCTTAACAAAATTGACATATCGCTAATTTAATATGTACCACGAGCCTCATTAATTTTATCTAGTTTTATGAGTTGCTCATTGTTCGATATTTTCTCGATTTAAATGGACAATGCAAGTCCGTATTCTGTCCCGTTTACACAGATCACCATGCGTCGGATCGGTAACGAATACCCTCTTCACGGTTCGAAGAATCGGGAGATCACGCGTGACCTGTTCGTGATGCAGCTCTGAACACACACATCTTACATTAAATGTTAGCCATTTGCTTTAAGTAACGAACGTGGAAGGATCAAGTGGACATTAAGGAAGTCATAAGTACATTATATCTCGCCTTCTATGCGTTGCCCCCTTTCAGACGGTCGATCAAACAGTTTCGATCGTCACGTGGGTCGCTCCCAGTAGAAAATTCTGATGGTTAGATATATTTAGAAAGATCTTCGTGACTATATCGGTTCTATCTCGAAAGGACACACGCCTGGCCCAGTTATAGAACTGCAATGTTTTGTTTCCGACCCTTGAGAACTGGTGCATCAAGAGTACTCGAAGAGCGTGTATTTCCTCTTGTTTCTCATAATTGTTAGGTGAGAAATTAGATCGCAATGACTGAAAGTTCCAGGAAACAGAATTTCAAAACCAGGTAAAACCATGATAATGAGACCAGCACCAAGTACCCAGTGACCTGGCGCCTTAGGAACCTAAAAAACAGTTCGACCCTTATGCATTTTTCCTAAAGAAAGTTTTAATAATTATAAAAATGCCGATTTTTAAACTTAATTATCACCTGTTAAATACCAAACTGGAGTTTATAAGTGTGGACCGGTTTTAGAGTTGTATCGAATAACTTCATCGCTGTATAACCTGTTGCAATTGCAACGGTGGCTTGTTTTTTTTTTCTTTAAATTATAAAATCAACCAGCTGAACCAAATTTAGCTACTTGCAGGAACCATCGAAAGCTTTGTTACGTGAAAAACCCAAGCGAGAACTCTTGAAAGATCTACTTTTGCATTTGGAATCTTTATTGAAAGTGAAATTTTTTTAATGAACACCCTTCTAAAGTCTAGACAAATTAAAACCGTGGTTCAAATATAGGTAAATCTATATTCTTTTTTATTATTTATCCGGGGTCACACGTGCAGGAAACATCTTTCATTCCTCGGCTGTCTTGACTTTCCTGAAGATGGTGCTTCAGGACACATGTGCACCACTTCCCTCTGCATGGTCTCATTTTATAGAATAGCTTACGATCAATTATCAGCTTTATTTTTTCGGTGAATGAACTATTCTTATTGTTAAAACTTTTTAGTGAAAGTTTGTACCACGTTCGAACATCGTATTTAATATAATGTACATTTTATGAACCAAACTGGTTTCTATACTACTTTTTAGTCAATAAAGGAAAAAAAAACTATAATGTATAAATTCGGAAATGCACGAAAATGAACTTACCTAGCATCAGGAAAGGCGCTGCCAAATTAATTCCAATAAATTCCAACCCACAATAGGCGATGAGACCAAAAGCAGCACCGACAGCAATTGTAGAGGAAACACAACCCAATACACCAATCCAAGGTTTGCTCCTAACACAATCGGCCATGGTGCAAGTTATCAAAGAGAAGATCAACATAACGGCTACAGTTAAACTAAAAAATGGCACCACACTTTGAGTATTTCTCTCCAGTTCCTCCGTTAGAGTTTTCGACACGAACATAGCCACTTCTATTCTGTCAAATTCCAAAGATTCTACCATTTCTAAGAATGCTGCTTCCCATGCTGCTGCTCTTCTTTCCGATCTTGGCGTGCTGGTATCCAGGTAGTACATTAAATTAATAGCGAAAGCAGACTTGACGTAACCATTATCGTCCACGTCCACTCCGCCTATGTTACCAGCAAAGAAATAAGTTTTGTATGTCTCGTCGTTGGTCATCAGAGGGTACTTCAGCAGCAGAGTGCGGTTTTCGACCTCACTTATCCTACCAGCGATCTCTAGTATACCATTTTCGAAACATTTTCCATTCTGTTTGGCACATGTTTGCTTGTAATGCCATTCTTCGTCGTCCCAGTACACGCTCATATTTTGTATAAGATCGTCCAGTTCGAGGACTTCCTCGAAAACCGAATTCCTTAGCATCGTCCCACCGTCTTTAGCAACGGCTATGACCCTCCCAAATTTGCCAGGGCGCGTCATGCGACTGAGGTCGAAATTGAGGGAAGAGTTCATAGGGAACAGATTCTCGACCACTCTTCTTTCGTCTTTGGATCTCCCGTTAGTTGGGGTAAAGAGGTACTCGGGATCATCCTCGTAATGGATCCTTTGCAATCCTGAAGCAAATATCCCAGCGAGGAGTAGAGGAACCACAACGAAATAACCAGGTTCACAACCTACTGTTTTTCCTAACTTATAAAATATCCTTGATACGAAACGATCCACGCAATCCCAGGACATGATTATATACAATTCGATTCAGGATCAAATCTGTTGTGGCATCACGTACTCGTCCATTGGCACAGAAAGTTGAGCACACCAAAAAAAAGAACCCCCCTTCCTACGTACCAGTTATGATATCTGACTTTGGAATTTTTTTCCCCTTTTTTTTCTTCTACTAGAGGTTAATCACTTGGGTAACAATCGATTTTGTTGCTGTGGTAACATCTTGCGATTATCTAACACAGTATCGAAGAATAGGTAAAACGCGTAATTCATTAATAGTAAAATATCTTCTATGTCACTAAGAAGGCAACGTTTATACCTTACGTGATGTTTCGATGGTTCGTTGAACTTCGTCAGACGAAACAGCTTCACTCATAAAAGTTACCGTAACTTCGTTATTCTTAAACTTAGTGGACAAACCAATAGTTGTATCTATACCGCGTAACATAATACAGTACACAGAAAATTGTAGCAAAAAGTAATATCGTTACTCTACACTCTTAACATTTTTGTACGAATGAAAACACACGAATAGTCTCTCTCATAGCTCGAGTTGTACGATTAAAATGCGTTACGTCACCGATTGTACACACGCTATTGGTTAAAGGAAGAACGGTCCTCGAGCGTTCAAGAACTTCTCGACTTTGCGGAAGTCGACTTCGCCTGTTCCCCTTTTACAACTGTAGCGGTAACTTGTCGCGACGACACAAAACTAGGGTAACATCAGCGAGTGACGTCATCTGGCCGAAACCAGTCTAAGATGTCCCTTCTTCCTGAATGGACCAGTAAGATAGTAGTTTTCTGTGCTTTTCGCTGCTGACCGTTGCCTTTAGGTATTTTGTGACCTGGTCGATTCACTGAATGTCGTTTCCAGGGGAGGATATGCTTGCGCGTGCAATGAAAATGCAAACACCCTACACTCGTTACATTGAACTGTGTGAAAGGAAGAAAGGTGTAGGCGTTGTTTTTCTGTGCTAACTTTTTTACATAGGTAAATCTTACTTAAGAAAGTTGAACATAAGTAGCGGATATACGTAAAACTCTATTAATAAAACTGACAATAGAGAACACACACACAAATTGATAGAACACCAAAATTGGCCGTGAATCCTATGACCTTTTTGATTCTCCACAATACAGGATTTATAATAATTATCATTATATTCTTTATTATTTTGTTGATGAACTTGCAGCTGCAGATGTTTATAGTTATGCTTCCAGCTGAATTGCATACAAAACAGGCAATACAAGATTATTTATACGGTATTTTGAAACAATATAAATGACAAAGGACACTACGAAGAGATTACTAAACCATACATAATCTTATATATAAACTATTCTTTATTGAAGATCATTAATACAGTTGTGTAAGCTGCCATGCCCTTAGACGTATAATAGATACAGTATACCATAATTATACCATTGCTATAGATAGAATGGCAATTATACTTCCCTTACCTGTTGCAGTTTTTAGATGAACTGCAAAATTATAAAGATTAATACCTCTAACATGAACTAGAACTTGTAGAAACTATAATTTCATCTATAATTCTTCGCCATACTTCAAGATTTGTGAATCATTTTGCCCATTTTCATTATAGATAACGTGATACACTCATATAATATAGATCCTGCCGTAAATCATATTTAAGATGTAACAATACAGTATTGTTACACGCTTCTTATAGATGATTTATATTACAAATTGTTATATGTCTCTATATATTGTAAATCGTCACACACACACACCTCCCTATATGATGTAACAATATAATATTGTTACATCTAATAGGGGCAAGCGTATAGTCAACTGGAATTATTTTCCTTTTCGCTTATCTACATCAGTTAAATTTAATTAAGTAATTATATTTGTTATTAATTAAAATTAAATTCCGATTATCTAGATCTCAATTGAACACTCACCCAAACTAAATTTAAAAATATTCTTACAGAGGAGTTGTTTGATTGGATGGTTTTGCCAATTTCATCAATTAACCAGCAAGTAATTATTTAATAAGTGCAGTAATTGGTCGATTTAAATTATTTAAAAACATTTAAAAATTCAAAAATAGAAATATTTAATTAAAAAAAATATTATAACTAGCTCAACTATGCCATCATTTTTAAATACAGTAGACAAGTGACGTTATTCACCAGACACGTAGAAAATCTAAATACAATTTTAGTGAAAGTATTGATTTATACGTAAAATAATAATTGTAATATCAATATATTTTTCCCCAGATATACATTATAAGTCGTATAATATAAAAATCAATGGGGTATAGTTTAGATAGAAGACCGTTATAAACGTGTACAGAGAAGTCGGGATTGTCTCGTGTGAAACGGTCTGTTGCTGTGAAATTAATTTAACGAGATGAAAAAAAATGTACGTATATATTAATTAAAATTAGTAAAAAACAAAAAAAAATCTCGATTTTATAGGCGAAATATATAAAAATAAAATATAAATAAAGTTTTAATATTGGCGGAATTGTAAATGCATTAGAACACTTCCCAGTATATAACTCATGAACCGTAAAGTGTGATCTACATTCTTCTTAAAGATTATCTTATCAGGATGTACAAAATAAACGGAACTAAGAAAATTTATTGACTTATACGTTTTGTTTTGAATATGTACAGTACAGTACAAGTTTATTGCTTCGTTAAAATAACACATTTATTATTATTATTATTATTTAAAATTAACAACACAAGAACACTCTTACGAGTCGCAGAATTTAATGATTTTTTTTTTATAGTTATAGGATATAAAACAAGATAAATTTAATTATAAAAAATTTAAACAAGTTTTCAATAATTCTAATTAATAATTTTTTAAAAATATATATATA